GCAAGTCTCATGAATGCTCAAGGCTCAGGCATTCACCGCTTGTGCTTGGTGGAGTTGTGCTGTATATGTCTTTGGCCCAGTTCCAAGGCATGCTGGCGGCGTTCTCTATCGCTTTCAGGTACTTGCTTGTAACCGTTGGCTGTGAACGTCTACCTACTCTTCTCCACGGCACAATCTACTGAGAGTCTATTGCTGGGGCTCAAACTCCTGACTCAATGCTCGAGTTGTGGCTAAACTGAAACGGTTGCACAGAAGTTTAGCGAAAACACCAGCAAGCCGTGCTTCGATTGCCTCATCTTACACTCGTATATCCTCATGTACTTGCCCACACTTTTAAGCTTCGGCCGCAACCTGCTCGGCACAGTATGCGCTCTGTAGCTGGCCTCAGCTTTCAGGCGGAAGACCCCATGAAGACCCCATGAAGGCCAAAAGGATACAGGATGGACGAGTCCAGGCTCGCGGCCTCAACCCTTCACAACAGCAACTGGCTTGAGCTTGATCGCCTTCTTGGAGATGCCGGCATCATGGCCTGTAGCACCCCCCGAGATGCGCCCCCCGCCCCCTGCCCCCCTCCCCCCATCGCAAAGCCCCTGGCAGGTCTGCACCACCTGAGTGACATCCTTGTAGCCTGAGCTCATGGATGCCGCCATGCCGCCGCATGCGCTGCAGCTCGCTACAATCGCTACAGCCTGAAGCAGTCCAAGTGGCTCTCGGGAGCCTCCTCCATAATGAGCTTTGGTGAAGCAACTCGAATCGAGATGCCCAGGTCCTGCAAGACGGAACCCGGGCACAAAGGATGTCTGGCTTGGCTCCACTGTGGTCGTCTCCTCTAATCTCTTGAGGACATCACCATAGTCCAGGTTGTTGCGCGACTTGTTTCGACCTCAAACACTCACCGCTTCTGCGCGCGTGACATCAACATGTCACCATCAAAGCAACCCCGGAACCCTCGGCACTTTGCACAACAGATCATTAGGGCACATGCTCAATGCACGCCCGGCTCCATGACAGGTGCTGCCAAAGGTCTCTCTCATACCTTGTGGTGGATTGGGCTGTGAGCTCAGAGTGGCTGTTCATTGACTGCGCCTTTGTCGGTTCCAGTCAGCACGTACGAGCACGTGCCCATGGTGCCTTTCAGAGCCGCAGTCCGCACCGCTTTCACCAAGAGTTGCAGAGTTGGGACGGCCTCCAACAATGACTGGCTGTCCGGTCAACTGGTAGTCTACAGGAATCAGCGGATGGTGTGGCCTCGGGCTGGCAACTCGCAAACGCTCAAATTGCAACGAATCCGCGGCTGAGGGAGAAGCGGGAAGGCTCGGGTAGAGCCTTTTCTGTGCACGAGCAGCTGTTTGCACTGGCCATCCACCTCGGGCACCCCGGAAGACAAGGAACCCGGGATCATTGAATGGATTCTGCTTCATGTGGACCTTTGTGGACATGCTCTTGAGCAGCTTGCTAAAAGTTCAAACCATCTAGTATGCCACCACGCAGGAAAGAATGCCTTCAGTGTCCTGAAGTGCCCTGAACCTCATGACCTCTTTGCATACAGGGTTACATGCTGTCCACTATGCACCTGCCTCTGGTGAAGTTTTCTGCCGCGCGTTCATGGCTTCGGACATGTGCAAGAAGAGATCAGACATTGATCCAACCCGGTATGTGAAATCTTCACCGAGCCACGAAATGCTCTTCCACCTTGGCGATGTTGTGTGAGACATCCTTGGCTGCTGAACCGACCAGTCCGATGGCACGGTTACGATGGCACTGTTGCAGCGGAAGTTGTTGAAGCACAATACACCAAGGTTCATAAATCACGTGCATGTCCAGGTCTTCTGGAGACTGGTTGAAGACCTGTCGCCATCTCAAGCATGCGGCTGATCCAGCTGCCCATCGCACACACACGCGATCACATGCCCCGGCCTTGGCAAATGCCTGGCGTGTGAGGAAAGTCATGGATGAACGGTTCACCCACGCGTAGTTGGCGGCTGCAGACATGCCCTGGCGGCGTCGTGACCCAGAACTTGGCTTCATCCAGTTGCTCACATCGTGTGACTTCGTGCCTTCAAGTAATTCTGGCCCTCGTCCTCGTATCAAGTTGCATTGTTGTGTGAAGTGATCTTCTGCACAGGCGGCAGCGTGCCAATGCCAAAATGACTTGACGAGACCTGGACGGATGCTGTACTGAGGTTGTTGCGGACTGTATTCTGGCGCATGCCAGCTGACGATCGTTGGTACGGATGTTGTCCCGAGTCCTCGATCAGACTTCGGAAGTGATCTGAGGAACTTGCGATGCACGGGACTGACCTGGAAATTCTTCCGAGTAAGCTTCACGCATAGCCCTCTCCATGTCCACCAAGGCATCAGTTGCAACCTGCAGGTTGCAGCAATCGCCCTGCCGGGCCAACCATGGTCCAAGGTGCCTGGTGTCCTAGTCCACGGCTTCCAGAATGGATCATGACCTTGTCACAACGGCGTGCCCTGAAAGAAACTGGCTAGCAGATCAGCATGAAACGAAATAGGGGCTTCCGACATTAGGGGTACCGTGTTGGGTCCCTGTTATAAGGGCATCCTGCTAGTTGGGGACGATTTTTTTAGGGGTCCCTTTATCTTCGTAAACCCCCAAATAGATCTGCAGCCTGAGCCCCCTGCACACACCTGTCCCTTTTGGTCAATGCCCATCTTCTTGGCCACAAACTCATCGTAGATTTCATCGACCACCTGGGACGCTGCAAGGCATATTCAGTGCTAGGGTTTAGGGTTTAGGGTTTAGGGTTTAGGGTTTAGGGTTTAGGGTTTAGGGTTTAGGGTTTAGGGTTTAGGGTTTAGTGTTTAGGTTTTAGGGTTTAGGGTTTAGGGTTTAGGGTTTAGGGTTTAGGGTTTAGGGTTTAGGGTTTAGGGTTTAGGGTTTAGGGTTTAGGGTTTAGGGTTTAGGTTTAGGGTTTGGGGTTAGGGTTAGGTTTGGGTTTAGGGTTTAGGGTTTAGGGTTTAGGGTTTAGGGTTTAGGGTTTAGGGTTGAGGGTTGAGGGTTGAGGGTTGCGGGTTGAGGGTTGAGGGTTGAGGGTTTAGGGTTGAGGGTTTAGGGTTTAGGGTTTAGGGTTTGGGGTTTAGGGTTTAGGGTTTACGGGTTGAGGGGTGATGTTTAGGGGGTTTAGGGTTTAGGGTTTAGGGTTTGAGGGCGGCGGGGGACTGATGCCTGGATCTCAGCGTAATGGTTTCCTGCGCCGAGTGTGCCCAACTGGGGCAGCCCACGCCTCGGCCACTGCGAAAACATGGTCCCCTAGATTTCCCCGACTATTCCCATATAGTTCCTATAGCATACCTCGAGCCAATATAAAGTGCCAGAGAGAACGGATGTCAATGGATGTCAGGAGCTCGGGACGAGGCTTCTTTGCCCGGCTGGAGACTTTCCCGGGATCGGCATTCAGCATGCGCCCGTACCTCACCGGCGATTCAGCTCCACTCGAGTTCGGTGCAAACCCAGGCTTGGGCAGTCTTGGATTCAATGCGGCCGAAGGGTGAGGCAGCGGCTCTTCACAGTGTTCCTTGTCCTCGGGCCACGCGTAGCCTGGTGCTTTGTTGTTTTCGAGCGTGGGCAAGCAAGTCGAGTGAGACCCACATGCCGTCTGTTGACCTCAACAACAGACTTATCTACTGCAGAAAGTGAAACCAAGCCTTCTCGGAGCGAGAAATCAATGCCGATCTGCAGCGCCTCTCCAATTACACTGGGGCGGTACGCTGCACGACCCTCACCTGCGGACCCTCAACCTGGACGCGCTTTCAGAGAGAGCCGCGTCGACTTCCTCTACCGGCACCTGGCCTCCTCCAGGTCCTGCTCCTTGGTGGGAATGATGCCCATGGAGCCAACTCCTTTGCAGTTCGTGTGCCGTGAGCTCATGCGATTGAAGAGGCGCACTTTCGGAAGTCTTGCTTTGGGGACGTGGCCGACTGGAATGTGATCGAAGAGCGACTGCGCCAGAGTCTCCTGGAAAGTGCCCCGGGTCTCGGCACGAGCTGATGCTGCCTCCATACCTTCCACCTTCACAGGCTGCACGTCCGAGTAGAGGAGGTTCGTCCGCACGAGTCTGACACCACCTAGCAGCGACAACATCCTGGTTTATGATCACTTTCGAATTCTTGAGGCTGCAAGGTCTGAGAGGCGGGCAGTTGATGTCGAACCCGACGCCGCCAGGAGAGACAACGGCTTCTGGAAGACCTAAAAAGTCTCCGCCGCATGCAAGGTGAGTGTGCTGCTGCTGCTCCTCCTCCTACTACGACGACTAGTTACTACTACTACCACTACTACTAATTATCATGTTTTGCAAGTCCCCTGATTTCTTAAGGGCATCGCCCATGTCAAATGCGGCGACGTTTCCAATCGCAAAGCCATATCCGCTGTGGATGTCCTGAGGACTTCAAGATGAAGATGTATCACCAAGCTGACACGTCCACCTGAAGCCCGTCTCTTTCAGCCTAGCTGCTGGGAGGCCAATGGAATATTTGACGATGCCAGGCCTTGTCATGGCTTCAACGTGTTGCCCGTGGAGCTGCGACCGGATAGGTTAAGTCAGTGGCAGAGCTGCAACGTTGCCAATCTGCTTCACAGCAGGCAGAAACCCACCCGCATTGTGAGACTGCCTGCGGCAAGGTTCCTTTCTGGAGCTGTGCGCGTCCGACGGGTTCCCCATGCATTGTAAAACACAAGACTCAACGCAAAGTGGCTAGCTCTGCTCATGTCGTTGCCTGCTGAAGCTCCGCAGTTCATCAATCATCAAGCGCTCAAGCCTCCATCCAATCTCAGAAGGCAAGGAGTAACAAGGGGCGTCGGATGCTGTGCGAGCTACGGTGGAATGGCTCAAAGCGCCGGGATAATCGTCACACAGTCAACCAAACGCTTTGAACAGCAGCGCCAAGCCGCTGATCGTTGACATAGAACTTGCCCGGCACATTCCTCAGTACACGCTGACGTGCTTGCTGTGAGCTGATGTACTTCTTCTGAGCCAAAGTATGGATGGTACTCATATTATACTCATTGTGCAGTTTGCACAACAGTTCTGTGACGTGGCCGCGACTAGTCTTGCCAAGCGTCATGCCATTCACAAAGCCCGGCCTGATGGAATAGGAAGTAGCGTCCTCCCGCTTGAGGAACCCCATCCTTGGTGCATGCGGTTGCTTCTCCGCACGGTGGACATGTCTGCGCTGCACACGGGGCCTTACAGGTTACTCGTTTCATGATCGGATTCCTTGTGCTTGAAATCCACTTGCAAGCAACTGATAGAACAGGATCCCTTGCAGCACAACGGATCCCCAGTTTTAGAAGAAGCCCCCATACAACTGGCTGTGGAATCAGCGGAGTGTCTCATCGTTGAAGCTGCGCGACATGACTGCAGCCTTTGGTTTAGGCTTAAGGGAACTCAGAGCAAGTGAGATACAGAAGCTGCAATCACCAGTTCGACTGAGGCACTTGCAATCTCCTTCTAGTTGTGCTCCGGGCCCAGCTACTTTAAATCTACTTTGGGGCTTGCCCAATCTCCGGCGAGCGCTACGGAGCTACTGCCTCTGTTCGCTGTCTTGTGCATGCAACAGCCAGTAGGGTCTGTTGCTGACTCTGAAAGTAAGAGGTTGCTCCACAACTTGCTTCTGCCCGCATGTTCTTCGGCAATGAAAAAACAACCATCAGCTGCGGCACGCCACGCAACAAGCCCAAATCATGAGAATCTGTCGTGCGCACACGGGAGATCATCAAAACAGCAGGTTCCCACAAGCCAGTTTTGCTTTGTACATCATCCAGGCCGACCGGTGAAGCCAATCCGCCTGTGGGTGTCCCGAAGTCTATGTACACACTGAATCAATCTGGGGTGTGAGACTTGAGAGTGTCATCTCAAAGTGCACTCTCTGGCATTAACACTGGCAGCACCGCAGCTGCAACACATGAGCATTGACGCGCGCCGAAGAACAGACTGCAAAGGACTTGCAAAGAGAAGCAGGGCCAACACGTCGGAACGTGAACCGCGAATGTACGAATATGGAGTCGACGTATCAAGCGCTGGGCTACGACCTGAACTGACCGCTCAAGTTGAGCTGCGAGAGCCTCAGGTCAGATGGATCGAGCCGCTGCCCAGAGCAAACACCACAGAAGAGCCAAGAGCCTCCCCCCCCCCCCGGGGACTTTCTTACACTTTCTTCGGCACTCTGGCTTGAAGCTGGTGGTCAAGAGAGTTCTGGAAGGGTGCTGAAAGTGTTTTGGGTTTGGGTTTCGGGCTTTCACGCGCCAACTGTCCAGGCCAAAAGCCGAGCAAGCTGCAAAGAAGCTCTGCCCAACTCGGGTTGCATCCTCTCCACCTGGCTCTTCATGACAATTCGTGCGGGGCGATGTAGATATTGCAGGTATCTATGCCTTACAGCGGCGGCTTGCGCTTGCGAAGGATTGACTACAGCATGTTGCCCAGCAGCAATACCGGGGCAATGACTTGGAACGCCAGCTCTCTTAACTCTACTAAACTGATCCGTTTTTTTTTCCAAACTCTTGCAGACTTGCCAGAACCTCTCATGGAAGGTCTCGAGCCCACCTCCTGCACATGGCGTGAGCTCGGAGTTGCCTCGAAAGTGCTGAAAAGCAGCTCGAAGATGACTTCGGGGCAATTTTGGGCTTGGACCTTAGTGCCTCTCTATAACCCTAAACCCTAAACCCTAAACCCTAAACCCTAAACCCTAAACCCTCTAACTTTGGGAACCGCTGCAGGATCCTGCAAAAGGCGCGCCTCGGCGGAAATGACACCCTTGACACCGACCTCGCAGTGCTTGGGCAGCACTTGGGGCATCTTCTTCTCCATGAGAACTCTGCATGTGAACTTTTCATGTGAACTACTCACGGTGTGCTTTCGTGATAGGCACAACGAAAGCTCATGCCCCCCCTGGTGCTTCCGAGTTGCTGAGCGTCCTCCAATGATTGTCAGGGCACTTGATGCTAAGACTCCAAAAAAAAAACGCATCATGAAAGATGTACCGCCTTTAAAGGCCCTTATGCAAGATAGGACCGCAATGAGCTGCTCTTTTTTAAAAGGCCCCAGGGGCCCCTGAGCTCTGCCATGCTCCGCTTTATCTGAAACAAAAGATTCCGGCGCCTTGCAAGGCTGCCACCTCGGCCTGGAGCTCGCGGATGCGGCCTTGCAGGCCTCTTTTTGGGATCGTTCTGCGTTTTTTTTTTTTTTTTGGGGGGGGGGAGGGGGGGGGGCGGGGGGTGCTCTAAGGTACAGTACTTCAATGTACTTCATGGCTCTTGCAGCTAAGAACTGTCGGTCGCGATGTGTCGCGAGTTTGCATGGCGCGCGCACCTTCGGTCACCTCGGCTGTCTTGGCCTTCTGCTTCTGCAACTCGGCGTGCGTGGCCTGTCTGAGGACTCCAGAGCCGCTGTATCGCTTATTATCATTCTGAAAAAATAGTAAAAGCAATAGAAAAAGTAATAGTAATAATCATAATAGTAGTAATAGTAATACATGGCAATAAACTCACATAAACCCGCACAGGTCAAAGCCACCCAGCTACGTGTACTGTCGTGTGTGGTTGCCTTGTACTGGTTCTGGAAGTACTGGGATGCGGTCTGGATGCTCTCCATCTGGCCCTGCCACGCGCAACACAGAAAACGCCCCAACGAACACGCAAGCCCGAATCTCTGAGAGTAGAAGCTGCCTGAAGATCCTTCTTCTCAAGATCCATCTTCTTGAGCTCTTGGGTCTGCCGTTCCAAGTCTTGCCTTTGGGAGAGCCATAGTCTTTTGGGGTAAAAGGTGTATATCGGTGAAGTCTCATTGTCTTGCACTAAGGCTACCTGGACTGAGCCGTGGACTGCATGGTGTGGATGCCTCAAAGGGGGGCAAATCACATGGGGGAGGGAGGGGTGTGTGCTCAAAATGAGGTTCCTTGTCCTTCTGGGGAGGGGGAGCTTCCAATTCTTGGCAGAAAAGGTACCTAGAAGGAGACCTCATGATCCCACGTCGCATCTCTCATCAAACTTTTATTCTGCATTTGAAAGCAGCTCCGAGGCCAGAACGTAGCTGCGAGGCCTGCAGGTCGCCACCTTGACTGGAGGCCTCGGTGCCCGGAAGCTCCGCAGACCCCACCCAAGTGCGGGTCACCAGGTGCAGATCCCCCAATGAGTGATCCCGAGGGCCCGGCAGCATGCTGCATGTGCCCAACTGCCTCAGCATATCTCTCTCGGCAAGATGCCGGCGACCCACGCTCAGAACCCATACTATAGCACCACAGCCAAGTGGTATCCCAACCACAATGCTTGCGAGAGCGAATGCTGGTCTTAGCTTCGGGCTGACTGCATCTCTCTCGATTTGCGTTTCTCCTGCAACACCGGCTCATGGCCAGGGCTATCCGAGGGAGCAGAGCTTGTTTGACAAACCCTAAACCCTAAACCCTAAACCCAATAGCCCCCTAATCTGAAGTCTTCAACAACCCACGAAATTTTCTTCCCCGAAAACCCCTGCCTGGTCCACCAGCTTCTGCAGCTCTTGAGCCTTTGCCTTCCACCTCAAGCCGGGCAACCCGATAAGGGTTTAGGGCTTTGTGGGTTTTGGGTGTAGGGTTTCGGGTTTAGGGTTTAGGGTTTTAGGGTTTAGGGTTTTAGGGTTTTAGGGTTTAGGGTTAGTTTTTTTTTTTTGGGGGGGGGGGGGGGGTATCTTTTGGGGGAGAAAAGGATTGGGTCAAGTACCTTGGTAGGTTTACCCGATCAAGTGCCCCCCCGTTCTGTACTTGCACCACTCTCGAGGGGCCTCATTGAGAAAGTTGGCCTTGATGGCCTCAAACACCACAAACCCTAAACCCATTCTTCAATCGTTTCGGGGCCCCCTCTATTTTTAAAGTTGATGTAAGAGACTGTTGAGTGATGTGCAGTGGCTTTCTCAAGCTCAAGTCACTATATACCACCCCTGCAGAGCCCTATCCCGCTTCATGAGGCCCGAAGCCAAGGACTCCAATAGGACTTCGGTACATATACAGTCAACTCCTTCTGCAAGCCAATCCTGACTATTTGGACCCCCCCCCCCCGCCTCTGCACCTCTTCTAGGGGTGCATGGCTGGAGCTGATGGTGTTCATAGCCTCAGGGGCCAAAGACAGGCGTCCTCTGGCCAACATTCAAAGGAAGCCCCCTCCCCTGCCCTACTCGGGCATTGCAGAGACCCGCAGGTCTGGCTGGAGCATGGTATACTTGTGCACGCCCATGAGCACAAGGCCAAGGCGGACGATGCGAGGCATCGAGAAAGAATGTCACATAAGGCTCGCACCTGCTTGAGGCCATGAAGCTCTCGGTCTTTGCCCTGCAGCTCCCTGAGTAACCTGCGACGCTTCAAGGGCTAAGTTAACGGGTCAGCTCCGTTATCAGGCCTGTCTTTCTCTTCTCTCCAACTCATCTGGTTCTCCTCCAGAATCACGCAAGATAAGACGCCAAACTGATCACGCTGATCACTTCATGTGGCGATTTCGGCTATAGTTCTTGCGTTGGAGTCTCCTGAAGGACGAAGTCCTGGCGGCTCCGCTCTAGTTCTTCTAGCCGCTCCTGCACTCAACCACAGCCCTTAAGGGACAGTCAAGAGGTTGCTTCCTCTCCCTGATGCCTGCTAAATTAACATGGGGGGGGGGGGGGGGCCTTGTGATGAAGCACTCTCGGCCAATCATAACTTGCATTGTGGCAAGGGCAGTGTGTCACGAACATTGTCAAGTGTCAAGGTTGCTACTGGCACCGCCCGAATCCATCGCCCGAATCCATCACTCCTTCTCAGCATTGCAGCTGATGTTTGCTTGCTGTGCTTCTGATCTCCAATGGACTGCCTCTCCTCCAATTGCCGAAGGACATGAGCAGTGCCAGGTCATATGCAGATTGCGCCGACAGCCCCAGACGTTGGCGAAGACTAGTTAATCCTTTGCATGTTCGCCACGGGAGGCCTTTCGTGTCTTGCAAGCTCTTGCCTAGCCTGTCAACTTCACCACGGAGCTCCTTTCGGGTGCGTGCAAGCATGCTTTGCGGCGAGCGCTTTGTTCTGGGAGAGTAGGGCATAAAGGAAGCCGCAAGTCAAGTCCATAAAAAAAAATGCACGGCGCTCGTCAGTCCTGCGCCTGCCTCCGCTCGTGGTTGAGCTCTTCTCTGTGCGTGCGGTGAATGTCCTCCAGCTGGGCTGAGAGCAATCCGACCTTGCACAGGAAACCATGCCACTCAATGTGCCATGCAGTCGTGGGAATCATGAACTGAACTTTAAAAACCTAAGCTGCGAACCTTCTCCAAGTACTCGGTTGCTTCGGAAGCCCGCGCCGCTTCCGCTTGCTGACAGCTACTGAGGCTCGCCTTCAGTGTCCCGATGGTGCTTCGTAGCTTCTTGATCTCGTCCTGACGCCAACCTAAAACCCACCCTTCAGATTTTGGTGCATGCGGCATATACAATGTGAGTACAAGTGCTGAGCTTTCAGGGACTGAGGAGGCCCTGAGTCCCTGAGAGAGCAGCAGCTTCCCGAAACTCCGGAAGATGCACACATCTGACTGTGAGTCCATGATCGTATCTTTCTTCCCTGTGCCGTGCTTGCCTGTTGCCTCTTGCTGACCCCAAACTGATCCGCATTCCTCCACTAGAAGGTTGGCTCACAGTTGCTTTCAACATGGAGACTAGCGCTGCACACCCCTAAACCCTAAACCATAAACCCTAACACCACCGTTTGAACAGACTACTTGCAGCAGTGCGCAGTGCCACGTATGTGCTACGTCGTCAATGTCCTGGAGCTGCTGCATGTGCTCCCGGCTGGCCTGCACATGGGTTTAGGGTTTAGGGCTTAGGGCTTACAGTAGGGTTTAGGGTCTTCAAACAGAAGATTCACGATTCCGAGTCTACATGATCTTGGTAGTCAAAGAGAGTCCTCACGCCTCCCCATCCATCTCCAGGGGCTTGATGTCCTCTTCGTCCGGCTTGGCCACGAGTGCCTCCTTAAACTGCTGCTGCAGCTGCTCCATGATCTTCCGCTGGTTCATGATTGTCTTCCGCATAGGGAACTCCTTTTGCGAACACATCGCTCCGGAAAAAAAGGGGGGGGGGTCCATTCTCTGACTTTCGCCAACCAGTCCTCCTCGTCCGGAATACATTGCACAGATGGCTTGCCATTCTTCACCAGCGAGTCCTGGAAGGGCAGACCTTCTGCAGAAACATGTCGTAGCGAGCTGCTGAGTGGGTGCCCGGGATCGAAGCCTTTGACCGGATGCTGCTTCAGCTTGATTGCTTAAGAACCGACATTGAACTTGTCAGATTTTGCCAGCATTCTTTCCCCAACCCCCAAGATGAGATATCTCATGGCAAGATGCAAGGGAGGCCTCCATCCCGAGCGCCTCCTTCGAGCCTTGCCATGAGCTCAGACCGCAGCCTGGAGCCCAGCGCGGCGAGCTTGGCCCGGCTGGGGTTTAGGGTTTAGGGTTTAGGGTTTAGGGTTCAGGGTTTAGGGTTTAGGGCTGCGTGCGGAGCTTGCACTGAGCCCCGCACGAGTCCAGAGCGCCTCCCCCGCCCAGGTTAAGCGCAGCATTCCTGATGCTGGCATCGAGGTTTACGGTGCCGAGGCCTCGGCCATGAATACGTATTGAGCACGAAACCGCATATTGAGCACGAAACCGCATCATTGCTTGTGGCCCATTTCAGCTGAGATTCCTGTCTTTGGCGATGACTCTGGCTTCCGCATGCTCTGGCTCAGCTCCAGGTCACGTGTAGGTGCATATGGATCCGGTCCCGGCTCGTTCGAGGCTGCAGGGAGCGCTCCCTGTGGCCTGGACTCCGGGGAGCGCCCCCCGTCCGCTGTCAGCGCAGGTGCGGGCAGCACTGGGGCTGCGGGCGCTACATTCACTGGGTCTGCCTGCGTGGCCGCCTGTGCAGCTGCCGCTGCCGCTGCAGCCTTTCTTGCTGCGGCCTGGGAAGCAGCCGCCTCGGCCGCTGCAGCCTCGGCCGCCGCAGCCTCGGCAGCTGCAGCCTTGGCCACCTCAGCCTGGGCAGCCGCAGCCTCGGCAGCGGCAGCCTCGGCCGCTGCCTCGCGCCTGAGTTGCTCCACCTCCCTCAGCGCCCCAATTGTTCGCAAAGCTGCCTGGATCTCGAGGGAGGCTGCCCTGAGCCTCTGCATCCGCTCTTCGGCCAGGGCTGTCTTCATGGAGGCTTGGATCTGCAAAGCTGCCGTCCGAAACTTTTGGAAACTCCTTGCTTTGACCGCCGTGCGACAAACTGCCTGGAACTGCAGGGCCGCGCCGCGCAGCATGCGGAATCTCCGTCTCTGAGCAAAGCCTCGCCAGCATCGCTGGATCGTTTGCACCTGCCGCTTCGCAGACTCCACGATCATCTGCTCCATGCGCCTCTCAAGATCCTCCTTCATGAAGACGCGCGTCTGACCCATCTGCCACGACTTCTCCTCCAAGACAACGCCCTGCTTGCAGAGTCGCTCTTCGACCTCCGTCGCTAGGCGCTGGCAAAGGCTCCTGTAGTCGGGATCTGCCCCTGTCGCTACCAAGTTCGGCGCCAGGATGCGGAATCTGGAGAAAAACTCCTTAAAAGGCCTTCGCACCGCATAGCCAGCTCTGCGAATGCGAATGGACTCGAGCATGCCCGCGCACCGCAGCTGCCGGAGCACGTCCAGTGAGTCCAGCTCGTTTGGCTGCTTTAGGGCGTTCGGCTTGATGCATCGGACATAGCGAGGGTTCGTCTTGTTCAGATCCTCGACAAGCCGATCCAGCTGCTCCCGAAACATCATGCTGACGGTCACATTCTGCCGTTCTCGTCGCTGGTCGTCCGGGTTGCGAGTGCTTTGACGGCGCAGTGGGCGGCCTGCAGCAGCTTTGGTCTCAGGCTTGTTCTCAGGCGAGAAGCGAGGGTCGGTAAAGAGCTTCTTCACCAACTCCAGCTTGGACTCCTTGAACAACGCCACCACATCGGCATGAAGCTTGTCCGTGTTCTTCTCAAGGAAAGTTTCCACGCTGTACGTCACGTCACCAGCGTAATGCGAAATCTTGAACTCTGTTGTAGCAAACCTGGAGGCCCTTGAGATTACATTGGAGTTCTTGTACGAGTTCTGAATTTTGGAAAGAAGTGTCGCATCAGTGGCAGAGCGCATCAAACATTCAGAATCAATCAGGCAGAACAGCCCCAGTGGTTTCCGCTCCAGGGTGTCAATGATGTGTTGATTGTTCTGGTACTGTATGTGATCCCATGTAATACCTTCGGATGTATAGAGCCGCTGCTCAAGCGTGAACATGTGCATGTTGAAGTGTTGTTGGAGCTTCTCGTTGGCAAAGTTGATGCAGAGCTGCTCAAACGAATTCCTTAGTCATGCCAGGATGGCTGAGCATAAAAATCTATTCCGGAAGGATGCGAAAGGTCTAGAGTCCAGATGCAGCATACGCAGTGTGTCAGTCTACATGCCGCTACATGCGACCGAGAATCCAATCAAACACTTCAAACCCATAGATGTCCAGCAATCCAATCTTGCGGACGTCCTTCTGCAACCCTTTGTTGCAGATGCTCTCATTTATGCGCCAGACCAGCCAGTCGAACAAGCGGGCATAGATCACTTTGGCCATGGAGTGGCGCGTAAACGAAGCTGATGCCGCATCTTGCCTTTGCATATCTGTGATGCAGCTTGCGAGTCTGGGATTCAAAGGGCTTCTCCCTAAAACTTTTCAGCCCCTCAACTTTGGGGCCTTAAGAGCCGAAACTAACTCCAACCATCCGTTTAGCCATTCAATGCGATTGCACAACCCCCCCCCCCCATGGAACGAATGATTGAAAACCAAAGCCATTCAAAATACAGTAGACCTCAATATATCCCGCTCCCCTGTGCCGCCGATCCCGCAAACTGCTGTTCGGCCAGGTGCTGCATGCGGATGATCTTCCTCGTCAACGGGTCCTCGAAGAAGACAGTTCAGTCAACCAAACTAACCTTAACCCTAGACCCTAGACCCTAAAGCCTAAAGCCTAAAGCCTAAACCCTAAATATCTTCAAATGGGCCCTGCAGAAGCAACGTGCCTCCAAGGTCTTGTGCTCCAGAACGTCTTGCATTTGGTCCAAGGGGAGGCCCAGCAGCTCACATGCCAGAGATACAGAACTGTCCTGGGAGCATGCGGCGCAAGCCGCCGGGTTAGGCGTCATTTTGAGAACAGACTTCATCTAAACAGCTCAGAATTGGGTTGAACCAGCTGATTGGCAACAACAACGCCCTTGTGAATTAGACAGCTCTGGTCCCCTGAGCAGGCAAGAGTCATTTGCCACGGAAACACCATCCTGCCCTTCTCTGACACATGGAGTAAACTGGACTTGTCCAAGATGGAGCACGGCCGCTATGACCCTAAAGATTGTGTCGCGCTCCTCCTTGGAGAAGCCAAGACTCACCATGCACTCCCGGACGCTGGTGAACTCTGCAGCATCATCGACCCCCGAGATAGACAGGCAAACCTTGCTATACTCGAAGTCATCTGCTGCATGGAGCTGTAGCCCAGCAGGAAGATCCTCACCCTGGTCATCAGGGGCACGCATTGGCGCTCAGGGTTTAGGGCTTTCTTTACTCAGCAGGAAGCTTGGTAGACAAGCACCAATTGACGTCTTTCGGAACTGTCCCAACACGCACTCCTCTCGGCCGCATGACATCAGAGAAAGCGCACAAGAGCATGATGCACCATACCCGCGGCATGTATTGACCAAACAGTGGTATCCCACCAAAGTGGCCTTCTGAGCTGCAGCGCACAGCTGGTAGAAGATGTGATAGTTGCGCTCCTGGCAACGTCGACCAAGTGAGGGAGCTCCCCAAATAGGTGCACTTGCAATGCTCATGGTCGCTTGTAAACCACAAGTTGATACAAGTGAACGCATATAGGGGTTGTTTCGACTAGCTGACTAGCCAGATCTTGGAGTTAAGGAGCTTGGAGCCAGAACACCATGCGAGGCTTTTGTTGCCATGTGCTGTGCTTCCCAGTGTAACTCCCGTCCTCTGGCTGCTGTGTTACGATGCGACACTTCTCCAACAAATAGTTGGAAATCCTTGGATGGCTCCGGAAAGATCGTGGTGAGGTGTTCCCGCGTGCGTTGCAAGATAAGGGGAGCTTGATTTACTTCGCAAGTTGAGTCAGGATGCTGTGCACTGAGGAGCTTCCCGCCGGCGTCAAATTCCACTTCGATGAACTTGCCGAATCTGGAGGAGTTGTCATTCCTCACCTTGGCACTCTAAACCGTTAAACATATCAAAAGAGATGCCCCCTAGGCACCACGTGAAAATTCAAACTCTCCAAGCTGGTAGCTGTCTTTGCGTTGCCAAAGGCTTCCAGAACCGGATTGGCATCGAGGACTTGCGACTCAACCGATCGGGTCCGTTCTCCTGGCCGGGGGGCCTTAAGTTTGATGAATATCATATTTAAACAAATAAATAAAGAAATATATATATATATATATGTATATGTATGGTTATATCGTTATCTAAAAACAAGTACATAAACAAATAAGTTTAAGCACTAGTGCAACAAATGACCCCTTTTCATCAGTGAGCAGATACCATTTCCATTTTGTAACCATGCACCACCCGCTAGCAACCAAACCATAACAACCTATACCTCAACTTTCAACCCACCGAAAGACCCCAACGCAAGACCCAAAATGGTGAAAACCATACTATGGAACCACGCACTACCCCGTAGAAACTAGCATCCTGAACCTCATACCATGCCCCACCCGATACAAAACCCACAACACCCAACACGAAACCCCAAACCCTAGAAAATGGAAATGGTCCTTTCAAATAAAGTATCTATAATATGAATAAGGTCTAGGAATAAGGTAGAACCATAGCGTCGTGATAATCTATAACAACTTAAGGATTATAACTACATTATACTTACGTTTTATCAACACGAATTTCAGTGATTATTCTGTCCTTGTGCTTACCAAAAAGCATAAAGTAGTCTTCTAAAAACTCATCATTCAGTAGTAACTGATGGACGTGAGTAAACACTTTATCAATATCGGGTTTAAGCTTCTCGGGTTCGGGTTGTGGCTCTGGTATTAGGAAACTGTTCGTTTAATCGTTTGCGTATTTCCCTGCTCGGTTTGCATATTCTGCCTGAATTTCTGCTTGCAATTTGTCGCTTAGTTTGCCTTGTTTCCATAAATTACCTAACTTTGTTAAATAACCTTTCATCAATATCTTTAGTTCCGAGTTCGGATGTAATGCATACTGGAAACGGGCATCCCAGTTATCGTCTTTCTTTTCTGTCCGCTTTCTTTGCTCAGTTCGTCTCCCTTTGCTCTTTCATCTCTTCTAGCTTGGTTATATTCTTTCTGAGCGTTCTTGTAGCATGTGCTTTTTTCGTTTCTCGGCATCTGGTACATGTCTTAAGCTCGTCAAAATCTTCAACGCCCTTTGGCAACACGATTTACACATTCTCCCCTCCTATATTGAAAAGTGAGTTGGCCTGAAAAAAATATTCGAACATTCACAGGGGCAGCGGGCAACAAAAAAAACAATGGGCGGGGAACACCTCCAAACTAATCAACCATTCCCAGATTCAAACTCTTATGGTGTGCGGGGCTCAAAATGATGCTTGGGACTTACACTAATACTATGCACTGTCAAATATGCGTATAAATAATACATTAAGTCATTATGTTAACAATTCTTGTAATTGATAAAACTCAAACAACAATTTAAGCCGTGTCTTATACTGACTTGAATGTTGATAATCCTCTAGTTCATCCATTTTAGCACCTATGGTGATACATGACGACCTCCAAATATCAAATGATGTCTATCTTCAACTATGTCAGTTGTTATTACGTTGCCTTCTTTCACCGTCCCTAAACCCTAAACCCTAAACCCTAAACCCGAAACCCTAAACCCTAAACCCTAACCCCTGAGGCTTAGACCTGAGAGCAGGGAAAAGGCAGGGGAAAGTGAAGCGGGGGGGGCAACCATATCTATGGCAGTGTCGCCCAGTCCCCCCTCCCCACTCCCGCCACCCCCCGCCTCCCCCCCGGTATGGTACCCCACGGCCCGCCCTGGTTGGGGTGGGTGGGGTTTAGGTTAGGTTTTAGGGTTCAGGGCCAGTTCAGGGTTTAGGGGTCTTTTGTTATCTTGTATTGTTGCCTATATGACAGCCATTCTCAAGTCGTGCATGCCCCACAAATAGCTGCATCTCTGCCAGAAGACCCAAGCTGGCGGCTACTCGTGGCCTGTCTCGTGTTGCTTTGACGACTGCAGCTCGGCCAAGTACGCGAGCATGCGCTTGGTGGCCTCCGTCTTCCCTGCTCCACTTTCGCCTGCCCGAACCACCAGTCGTGTCCAGCTAAGCCCGCGCAGGTAACAGTGAGTCGATCGAAGTACAGTGTGCAGCGTGAGAGAATGACTGACGAGTTTTACCTTGATATGTAGCTACGAGCCTGAGATGATGATGGACTGGCTGGATTTCTCTTGCAGCATTGCCTGACACCACGTCATGCAATTGATGGCTCCAAGCAGAACACAGAATACAATGCTCTCTGAGTCTGACAGTGAGCTACTCCTTGGCCGAGATGCGCGATATGCTGCATCAGCAACCGAGTAAAGGTGAATGGGAAGACCACCTCCCGCCTAACAGGTGCATCTGGACGAGGAACGGTGGCGTAACGAGGTCGTACGATTATTCAGTATTTGTACGCCATGACGTTCATGCGCCTGACTCGGAGCTTTGGCAGCATATCGCTTGTACTCGCGCATGCGCTCCACACTATAGAGGCCCGGGATGTTCTGGTACGGATTCACAGATATCAGAATCGGAGTCCCGATGCCAGTGTAGATCTTGTCCTCCACAGGAACTCTCTTCTACGCACTGATGGAAACCATAACCGCGTGGCATCTCGTTTTCTCAACCGTACCGGGTGTTTTCGAGGGCGCTCACGGCCTTCTACGGTGGCCTATTCACGTCATTCCGGGTCCTCCTCATATCGCACGCGAATGTTGTGGAGGAGAGCCTGGGCTTGGCGAGCGAGGGACCCATGTTTACGCGCTCACGTAAGCTCTGTTCTGGATATTCCGGGTTCAAGGCAGGTTCGTTGAAGTCGCCCAGTGTCAGAAGGTCGTCCACGCCCGTCAAGCAGGCGGGATCCACTGCTAGGGCCTCTGCCTTGGGCACCTGATGTCTCCAGCAAGAGTCCCCGGCACTTCGTGGTTAGGCTATTCCCGCCTGGAACTTGTTCCCCTCGATGTCAACGACCAGTAAATTGTCGCCGGCATCCGCATTGTCATCCACCTGCCCAGGCCTGTCGAACGCACAAGACCACACATGGTTCTTGGGTGCTCAGAACGCAAAGCAAAGCCGGGCAACCTGTATCCATGCGTAGGGTGGTTGGGAATCCAAACTTTGCGAGCTTCCTTCACGATCAGCTCCATGGCTGACTAGCATCAGCAAGCGCGCATTTTTTTTAGTGTTCGAGCTTTCGAAGTCAGCCCCTTGGAGCACGAGCATGCAGACCAGTTACGACTAGCAGAGTTGATGGCGCTGCTGATGTACCGGCAGTGTGTGAGTTGACTGCTGCAGTAGCTGGGGATAGCTGTGCTGGTGAGGAGTTGAATGCACGGATGCATGATAACGATCTCAGATCAAAGTGCTCAGCCTTTATGGCTCTAAAACCCAGCCGAGATGGCTTCAGCACCTTGTTGTGAAGTTAACTCCTTGGCCATCATTCTTGCAGCTTGAGGGGCCAGCCTTACAACGGTTTTGCGAGGCTTGCAAGATGCTTGAATGTGTCTAGCGGGCATTCGGGACAGCTTTAGAAGAGACTGATTCCAGGAGTTCCTTTTCAATTGGCATCATGCGAAAAAACTCGCATTTACATGTTCGCGTGTCCGCACCCACGCATGTCCACGCGTCTGTCCACCAACTAGAAACGCATGGCTGAAAAAGGCACCCGGAAACCATGCGACAGTGGTCAGCAGCGGTCTTTTCCTCCTCTTGGAGTGCTCGCTGAAGTACTAGCATGCACGCCAGACATCAGTCAATTGCTACAGTTCAGAGAGTACCCTTGTCTACTCTGCTGCATGCAGGATGATTCGCTTCAAACGGCAAGCCAAAATTGCAACCGGCTACCATTGACCCATTGCCAGCCACACGTTAGCACAAGCGCGGCCAGCTATGTACACAGCAGGGTTTGGCAGTGCAGAGTTTACCTGCCTTAGGCAGCAAACACTGGCCCAAGGGAACCGCCCAACAGGCTCGCCAAGCATCCCGTCTTCAAAAGTTCAAAGCACCTGAGACTTCGCTGCGCCATGCCCCAGCCCTCATGTTCCATATCTCAGCTTCCGAAAGCCCGAAACCCGGACTTGGTTCAGTTCGTGTAAGTGCAAGCATCCCTAAACCCTAAACCCTAAACCCTGAACCCTAAACCCTAAACCCTGAACCCTAAACCCGAAACCCCCTAAACCCCCTAAACCCCCTAAACCCCCTAAACCCCCTAAACCCCCTAAACCCCCTAAACCCCCTAAACCCCCTAAAACCCCTAAAACCCCCTAAACCCCCTAAAACCCTAAACCCCTAAACCCCTAAACCCCCTAAACCTCCTAACCCCCCTAAACCCCTAAACCCCCTAAACCCCCTAAACCCCCTAAACCCCCTAAACCCCCTAAACCCCCTAAACCCCCTAAACCCCCTAAACCCCCTAAACCCCCTAAACCCTGAACCCTAAACCCTAAACCCCGTCCCTGAGAATTAGAGCTCGCCCATGTCTAAGTGATCGGCCCACACTCTAAGCCAGGAGGAGCTCCGACAAGCTCGCAGTCGTTCCAGGCGACAGCTGCAGACCTGAGGTACTTGGGAATAGGGTTTCGGGCTTCGGGTTTCGGGTTTAGGGTTTAGGGATTTCAATTAGGGGCCTCCCCTTATTTCAACTCGGAATTTCTCGGGGTCCCGATTAACAAATCTGAACAAATCCCCCCAGAAGATGTAGAGCCGCTATCAATTCGCAGGGTAGAAAACCTATTTTTGCGACCGGGGTTGGTCCCAAGCTCTTGGCTCGGAAGTGGAAAGATTTGAGGGTTCGGAGTGTTTAGGGTTTAGGGTTTAGGGTTTTAGGGTTTAGGGTTTAGGGTTTAGGGTTTAGGGTTTAGGGTTTAGGGTTTAGGGTGTAGGGTTTAGGGTTTAGGGTTTAGGGTTTAGGGTTTAGGGTTTAGGGTTTAGGGACAGCTCGCCGGGTTGCGCAGCTCGTCCGCCGTTGGCGATGCTCCACTGCAGACCGATTCCAGGCACAGCTCCTCACCCATGCAGGCTCACTTCAAGTAGGGTTTAGGGTTTAGGGTTTAGGGTTTGGGGTTTAGGGTTTAGGGTTTAGGGTTTAGGGTTTAGGGTTTAGGGTTTAGGGTTTAGGGTTTAGGGTCTAGGGTCTAGGGTCTAGGGTCTAGGGTCTAGGGTCTAGGGTTTAGCTGGCCGTTACAGGGATGAGCTGGCTGGCGCGCGCCTTATAGCGACCTTGTACCAAAATCCAGCAGCGTGCCATCCCCCAGTCAATCCTGAGAGGTTGAACCCCCGGATGCCGGATGCCGGAGCGGCGCTGTGCCATAACTGCCATGACTGTGATATCTGGGCATTCTCTGAGAAATCTTGAATCAGCTCTGATTTTAAGAAGAATAATAATAGTAAAAGTAATAATAATAGTAATAAGAACAGTAATAATAATAGTAATAAAAATAATAATAATAATAATAATAATAATAGTAGTAGTAATAATAATAGCAATAATAGCAATAATAATAATGATAATATTTCCCTATATTGCCCTTGTTAGGAATCTTTGCAGATGAGACTCTCCAAATGAAACGTTAGGACGTATTCTTGCTCGCTGTCCGACCGGGCACGCAAGGTGCCATCTCCCAGGATCCAAGTGTGTTGACGGTATGCCCACGACGACCTAGAGGACACAACCTCGGAGCAAACAGCAAAAAAAACCCTAAACCCTAAACCCTAAACCTTAAACCCTGAACCCTAAACCCTGAACTAGCTACCCTAAACCCTACTACGGAAGCCACACGTTAGCTAGCTCATCAAATGTCGCACCTCACGGATGGAGGCTCGAATGTTGTAGTAGCAGCCGCAGCCTTACTGAACTTGGAACCCTAGCAAAAAAACATAATCTTAGCTGTTTCTTAGGAATTAACAGTACCCAAAAATTAAAGAATACTCCCAAGTATCCCATTGTAGTACCCCAAAAAATTATAATATAAAAAAAAAAAAAAAAAAAAAACTTCTTCCCAAGTATCCCGAAGCAGCTGCCAGGATGCAAGTCCCAGCTCAGCGTTATCAGGGGCTGCTTCGGCACGGCGGAGTCCAAGAGCACAATGGACATTTCAGACTCGGCCGCTCCTGACATGGCCCGGCTTGGTGTCAACTGCTGTGGAAGTCAACATCGTGGCTGCTCTGAATTATAGGGTTTAGGGTTTAGGGTTTAGGGTTTGGGGTTTGGGGTTTGGGGTTTGGGGTTTGGGGTTTGGGGTTTGGGGTTTGGGGTTTGGGGTTTGGGGTTTGGGGTTTGGGTTTTAAGGTTTAGGGGTTCGGGTTCGGGTTCGGGAAAGACAATCCGGCAGGCCGTCCTCTGACGGGTGCAATGCTGCAGGACAGCTTGCCACGGAGCACGCGTGGAGTCAGCTGACCACGCATCTTCCATGTCAGCTCATGGGGCTGCAGGATTTGGTGGATGTTGCTGTGGCTCCGCGAGCGCGGCACATTTACGCTTCGGAGGCGGAGCGGGTACAAGTTAAGCACCTCAGTCAGTAGGGTTGGTCCACTACATCCCAGTATATCCCAGTGAATGGTGGGGTTTAAGGCTCCAATTCCGGCCCGTGAGTCCATCGGTTCAACTGAGACCTTTGAAGTAAAGAGCTTTCTGTGCAGCCCTGCTGCCAGCAGCCCCCGGCCAAGGGCAGGACAGGCAGTGTCGACGGAAAGCACCGGTTCTCGCAGAGACTGCGGGGCACAAGGTTTTTTTTAAAGCATCTCTGAACCATCATGAACACACTGGAAAAACCCCCCACCTGCCACAGCACCAGAGGTGTCAAACCCAGCGGCAGCTGGCGGCCGGAACGGCCGGCCTGAAGATCTACTGAGCTCTGTGTGGCTCACCTTCAGATGCTCCGACCAGCCCAAAACGCGACCGCTGCGCCTTTGCCTGCATGGCCAAGCCCTTTAGAAGCTGAGGGAGAAGCCTGCAGTAGCTTGATGAGCAATTGGAATGATTGAATGATCACAGGCTGAATCAACGTCTGCCGCCCAGCAGCTGCTGCAGCATCCGCTGAAGCTCCTGACCTCTCACAGTTGAAGCACGTCTGAGGCATAGTATAAGTATCATAAATCAGCTATGAAGCACCCACAGCATTGCATTGAAGGCTTTCTTTGGGCTATGCCAAGGCCTGCGGAGGAAAGCGTCGCGAACTCCTTTGCGGGAAGGTGTAAGCAAAGCTGCTCCAGCGGCAGCGCTTCAAAGGAAGGCCTGCAAAGGAGTCCCCGCTCTCGGCTTGAGATGGGAGAGTTTGGGAGTTCTCCAGTCCGAAACATCCCAAATCGCTACAGTTTTTTGCGCCGGTTCAATGGCATGCAACAGTCGGATCCCGCAGCATTTTAACCCCAGCTAACTTGCCATGGATTTCTACAATGCTGAAATCCAAACAGAGCACTGCTTAGCCAAGCGGCGCAGGCTGGAGCTTCTCTAGGCGATGCTGCAGCACCTGAACTTCTGCTTCCAAGTCCTTGCAGCCGGGCGTTGGTTTAGCCTTCACCCTTGAAGCATCCCTTGAAGCCATGTTGTCGCTATTTGCTCACATGTTGGCCTGCAACTCCTTCTCCAACTCTTCCTCGAGAGCATCGCTGTCCTGGCACTGTGCCCCTACTCTGTGGAAGGGTGATGAAGGTGAAAGTTCAGGCCACAATCTGCAGCTGAGGTGCTGCACGCTCGCACGGGCTGTCAGCAGCGAGTTCTTCAGTGACTCCATCAGTCATGGCTCCATGCAGAACTAGCTAAGAACCGCGGCTAGCCTGAGGTAACTGTGTGCCGTTGTGCGTATGCTCTGGAATGTGCATCTTCATCAGCAGGTGGCATCATCCGATGCCTAATGGTCATAATTACCGTCTCAGATTCAAAAGGCGGTTACCTTTGGACCTTTTTCAACCCAGCCCTGCAAGTTCGAACTTCCCAAGCTTTGCCATGTTCTAGCACAGCACGCTGGTGTTCTTCACCAACTATGGCCAGTGGCGACGTACTTCTGGGTGTTTCACATTGCAAGGAGCCGAAACGACACTTCGGAGAGGCCATAAACATGTGGACCATCTCTGCAATCAAGCTTACGCGTGCCAGGCCGACAGATCGGGGCAATAACCAGGGAGGCGAGAGCAAGGCTGTGAAGCTTCAGGAAGTTGAATGCTGTGTGCTCCTCAAAAGCTATGCCAGCGCCAGAAGACTTTTTTGCCTGCATACCTGGCGATTGAGCAGAGTGGTTGTCTCGTCTCATCATGGACTCGGTTGCCATGAGTCTCCGAAACTCTACAGCAGATATAGGCTTTCCACGGCTCATGAAGCCATCACCATCACCAGCCTGGAGGGCTACAAGATGTGGGTGGTTGAGGCTGCAAGAGTTCTCTGTGCAGCTAGGGCCATCGCAGGGCACAGGCGGCAGTGTTGCATCAAAGTATTGCCTGCCCGCTTGAACAGCACTCCTGCACAGGCACCCTCCCAGTACTATGGGCCCTGAACCGCCTGAATCCTAGCCCCATCAGCCAAAGATGTGTTGCATCGGCTTCTCAACTCAAGAAGCCTCTCTCTGCTACTCTTCGCACCAAAGCGCAGTCCTGAAGCTGATGCTGTGAGCTTCTTCTGAGTTTGATACACCTGTGTAGCACATCACACGCACGGGCTTTGCAGCACATTCAGGGAAACCTCCAATCGCAGCTGAGGTGCTCGAGGCTGCATGCATCCGCTGGAGGAGAAAGTTGGACCCACTGCTCATGCGCAACGCGTCTTGGAGCAGTTGCGAGGTTCGGCGTGCCCGCCCCGAGGGGCGAGGATCCTTGGTGACTCTCCAGATGCGAAGGATATGGAGAGTTGCTGGGCTGTCGAATGAATCTAATGCTCAAACCAGTTTCAGCCATGTTTCGAAGATCTACATCAATACATATCAATACTATGCAATACACTAGCAGTCCATGAACCAGTGCTGGGGTCCCAGCTCCAGACTGTATCATCGAGGTCAGCGCGGCCGCACTACACTTTTGCAGCGCCGCCGAGGAATCCATCGCTGGCTGTATTGGGGCAGTTGGGACCTGGCTAGGCTGCTCGTTCAGCCCTGCCAGGGCCTGCAGCATTGCCGACCTCCGCTCCGACCTGCAACTGAGAAAGCACCCCTTGCACACATCTCAACAAGAAAGTTGCCCCAAAAACTCCGGATTCCCAACTTCACTGACGACGAGTTGTGGGGGCGACCTACATCCTGCAAGCTCAGGCTCAGGCCCGGAGTCGCCTGCGCATGCTGGAGTTGGGTGTGGCATCTCCTTCACTTTCGCGGCCGTGGCCGCCGTGGAGCGGCGCAGCTCACCGCGGTGCGGGGCGTTCGAGCTGACTGGGGGCAGAGGTGCCTTGGCAGAATCATAAGACTCATTATAACAATAACAATAACAAAACTAATACTAATAACAGTAAGAATAATGATGATAATAATAATAATAATAATAGCAAAATTCAGCATCTCAATCGCTTTTTTGCACGCTTCCACCGGTGAATCGCCGCTGCCGCTTGCTGCATCAAGAAAAAAACATCATGTGACGGTTGTTCCAAATTGCTTCACGGCAAAACAACCATTCTTCGCGAAAAGCAACTTGTCTTTCGCGGGCCCATCGCGGACTTTCGCGGAGCATATTTTACCCCCGTATTAGTTTCAGCACAAACAGTACTAACACTAAACTTCGCGAAAGCGTGATTTGTCTTTCGCGGGCCCATCGCGGACTTTCGCGGACCCTCATTTCCATCATCTGAGGGTCGCCCCAGTATAACTCGAAGACAAGGGGGGTGTTGAACAACCCTCATGTCTCGTTTTTCCTCGAGATGTCCGTGGCCGGAACGACAACCCTTCATGCTTCGTGACACAACGCACCAAACAACGAACAACAAGTGCACCGAAACCAAGTGGCCCCGGTCGTTGCTTCCAGAAAATCTCGGTACTGTTCGGCCAGCATCATGGCGTCAGCGCAGTTTCTCTCTAAGCACTCCGAAGCCCTCGCCTGCAACAAGTACCAGTAATAATAATGATGGTGAAAATAAAAATAAGAAGAAGAAGAATAATGACCCACGCTTGAAAGACCAGCGGTTCACGTGAAAGCTCTGTCCCTTCAAGTCACCTCTGGCTCATTGGCCAGAAGTTCTGCGAGCAAAACAGGCAAAAACACAGCTTGCTCACCACAGTTGCGAGTCTCACCTGATCTCCCATCTGACTTTTTCTGCAGAAACTTGGGGCGGCTTTGGCACTCAAACAGACAGTGGAAACAGCACACAGAGTCGCACAAGACCTCGTACAGGGCGACTAAGATCCGGCAGATTCGGACAGTGATGATGTGGGAGCCACAAGTAGAGCGCGGGGCAGTGCAAAGCGTCGAATTGGAGTACCACTGCCTAAACTTCACAGGCGACGCCGGTGGCTCACGAGGAAGGAACCAGATTGCGCAAGAACTTGAAAAACAACTTCGAACATTCGGAACTGCATCTTCTCGCCTGCTCCGTAAATCATGTAGAATCTGACGACATCGCAAGGAGCTTTGCAGGCCCCTCGTGTCGACAATGCAGCAGGGGCCATTTCGCTTGTCTCATGTCATGCCTTCCAAGAGATCACGTCCGCGGAGCTGAAGTGAGAAGAGCTGAGAAAACAGCTTCTTTGGCCTCCCGATGTCACACGACGTCCCCCAAAGTCCTTGCCCTGCTCTGCCCGGCTCCACAAATCTCCACTTGACACAGCGACTCACGGCTCATGGGCAGGCGCATCACGGGCAAATTCTGCGAGAGGTGGATTTTGGAGAATTGGGATGGCTCAAGATGGCTCAAGTCTCCGCCACGGGGTACATAACGTCGGTCCGGATGACCTTGCAGCGACTCAACATGGATCACACCAGGAATCCATACCTTGAATGCCTCATTGAATGCCCCATGAGGATGACTTGCGGAAGTTTTCGGGCGGGTTCATACACCTTATTGGACCGGGGGTGAAATCTGACCGGCGACTCCGACCTGTCTCCCAAGGCGGCGGACCCATTAGTCGACTTTAGCCTATCTCCCAGGCAGCCACCCGGGGGTCGTGGGCGTGGGACGCGTGGGGGACGGGCGGAGCCTCTAAGTGGTGCGGTTTCTGACGAGCACACCGGGGGTGGGTTGGCGGCCCCAAACTCGCGACGGGTGGAGGTACCTGCTGGGTTTGTGCGGCCGGTGGTGGGGCACAGATAGTGTATCGGACAGGCGGATCCCCAAAACCAACCCTACAGCAATCCTTGAAGGGATGTTTCTGACAGGAGGTACCAGCGGACCCTCGAACTAACCTTCTACCAGGGACTGGAAAGGAGGGCCTGTGCGCTTCGGCGCTGCTGACCCAGTCAGTGACCTCGAAGTATTGCGGGAGGGTGGCCGACCCAGGTTCGATCCTCTTCTCTGAAAACAACGAATCTGGTTGAACCCGGGCTCGAATTCCTTCAGAGAGTTCGTTGGAAATTGATTCAGAAACATGGGCTGAATCTCGTTCGGGATCATTCTTGCCAGAGGAGGTGTAAAGGAGGGTTTTGCAGCCAGATTATCAATGTTGTTCTTTCTTCTTCCCCTTCTGGAACATTCTTTTTGGAATCGCAGTTTCGTGTTGAAAAGGATCGCGGCCGAAAAAGAGATGATGTCACTTGAGGTTCCCGAAGAAGGCGACTCTTGGCCCGCAGTGCCCAGCAGGCCGACCGACTCATCCATACTATCTGTAGGCAGGCATCTGGTTCTGGGGGGGGGAGTGTAGATGGATGAAAGTACCAGATGTGCGAAACCTCTAACTGGCTATAACTTTTATACCTGTTTATAATGGAGGCATGGGACAGTGGCAATGATGGGAGGACCCTGTACCCCTCCCAGACCCGTCGCCATGAAGTTGCAACACGCACGGGGGCACCCATCGTGAGCATCAGTCGCTCGGGTTCGTGGCCGCGGCGCGCATCATGAGATATCATGAGCATCAGTGGCTTGCCTATGGGGAGGATCAGCGCCCCAGGCCCTCGAACATGTGGTCTTCTGCCTCTACATTGCGCGCAGGCCCTAAGAATATATAGACAGATGGGGGCAGAGATGTAATAGATATTAATAGATAGCATCTGACTGGCGGACCCTGCAAAACTCCAGCCTGGCTTTCCAATCTGTGAGGAAAAGGGGGGGGGGGGGAGCTCAGAGCTGTACCGAAAGCTGGCCCTCGTACCTCTAAGCAGGGATAGGGGGCAAGGGGCCCGGGGGGAGGAGATAGATAGCATCTGACAGGCCGACCTCCAACCTCTAGCCACTACCCGGGAGGTACCTGACCTCTGACATCTAACCTCTCACCAGTAGGCATCGGAGGCTGTTGGTTAGAGATCTTGGTCAGGGACGTAATGGATTCAACATTGAATGTGCTTTGCATGTGCCAAGTGGCAAACTTGTCAGAGGACATGGGCTCAGTGCCAGCATGGACGAGGCTTTGTGCAAAAACGAGCAGACATCCGGCAGCGACTGGAGCATCAACACAATGGTCGCAAGCGCGATCACATCGGCCAGTGCGTGCAACTTCTGGACACTCCGGAGAAATGAACCGAGTTCCACCGCCACTCTCGTTGCTGTCCACGCCGGACAAGTACAGAAGTGCCGAAAGCAAAGATCTTGCAGCTCCGTGCCTGTTCTCGCCATCTTGATGCGGCGCAAAGAAGTGGCCTTTCCCGTACTTCAGGAAGCGCATGTGCTGGTTCAGGCCAACTGCACCAAGGCCTTTGAAAGACGGAACCAGGTGGCACACGCGGCTCCAAAGCTTGTCAGCAAGAACTGGATCCACGAACTGACTGATCATGTGCCCGTTTGCCGAGACCCAGTCCCTCCTCGACCTGTTCTGCGAGCACGAAGCAGCAGGTCACAGCAGGTCCGCAGACAATGACGACTTAGACAAGATGGCACACGAAAATTTATCAAGGCCAAGCGACATGCCCCAGCTTTTCAATGCCTGCACCTCTTCGTTCGTAAGCACGCGAGGGATGACTGCACAAACCGCGGGTGCCAGGACCCGGGCCCAGGGCACAGGCACCTCGCTCTGCACATGGACAGTTGTGCGTGTGCTTGTCGCTGCGCTCCTCACCCTTGCTGCCCCAGTCACCCCGTGTCATGTCCTACCCACAAGGGCAGACGTGTAGCTCAAGATGTTTTTGGCAGCACCTGAAGATGTCTCAGCTCTCTCACGCCTTTTTGCTTCGGTAAAGTCGTAGTTGAAGGGGCACTTGCAGGAGAGTGGGTAGATGTGCTCATGATGCTTGCACGCCTGGCATATTGCGGCGCTGGGCCGTTTGTGTCCCCACCAAAACCAACGCAACAGATATGGAATGTTCGTCTGCGCTCCAGAAAGCCATGACTTGGGCGGCTAGATGCCACGGGCCGAGGCGGCTGGTGCTCATGAAGATGAGACTGTTTCTGCTGATGATTCAAAGCTTCGAGAGACTGAAGGAACCAACAGAAAACATGATACTGGCATGGGTTTGTGAAACGGCGCTGTCACGTCTGCTTTCACTTCTGTTGTTCTTTATTGTACTTCTTGTCTTTGAAAGGCGGGGCAAGACTGTGATGCAACCACCGGGAGGAAGGTGTGAGTGCTGCGCTTGGACTTGTCTCTAAGCCACTGAATCAGCCACGCCTGGGCAGTTCATGCTCAAGACCGGCCCTGCATAACTCGCAAGGCTTGCGCAGCTGATCCTCATGATGCTCCCTCGCTTGGTGCTGCTACCAGTGGTGCCACGGGCCCAGGCGGTTGATGCTTACTTGAGATTGGGGCTTCGAAAGCTAGACAAAAGCCGGACAGCGAAGCAATGCATTGTCGAGGGATGAATGAAAAGTGCGGATGCGGTCAGCGCAGCCGAGCAGAGGATGGTGTGCGCGGTTAGGCGTGACTTTGTCATGGTGCTACTTGTCGAGGGCCACCTGCGCTTCGCGCTCTCCGAAAATCCTAGCCTATCCGCTGACCCAAGCTTCGGCTTTTGGTGTGAGGTTAAGGGTTTCGTGCTGTGCGTGCACAGTTTGAGTGACGACTCCAAATCGTATGAGCTGCTCATTCCCATCATCGACCCAGGGTGCATGAGCAGATATTGGGACATGCTTGCGATCTTCTGCTGGCAGGGTTGGGCTTGAGCTTGGGGTCTAGGACTTAGGGTGTCTAGGCTTGCTTCAGTTTAGAATGAAAGCTGACAGGTCTTTTGTGAGATCCATGCTTCGACTTGGTTCTGGTTTGACACGAGCTGGTGGCCCTCTGATTTGATGCAACGATGAAGAAGCCTGCAAAGGGGCCTCAATCCCTCAATCGGCTGGGGCTCCCCCCCCCCTCGCAGCCCTTGAACGTATTGATTTTCATACCATCTAAGGGTCGGGGTCGCTTGTTGACCCAACTGAACACTAGAGAGAAAGGTTGTAAACGACAACTCTCGCAAGCTCCACGGAGCTAGCTTTCGTGATGATGCTCGCTGTGGTCTGCTGGGGCGCTTCTTCCAATGGTTCACACTCCCCACAGAAGCAGCCATAGTAGCCTTACACTAGCTTGGATTGGAGCCAAAACTCAACAGGACAATCAAGTAAGATATTGCTTGTATGCATGCTGGACTTGAGCGGGGCCTCATGCCTTACGCCCAACACGTTTTGGCACTCCGGTACCTGCTGCAGCTGCGAGGCCGCGATAGCTTGCCGCACGCTGCACAGCGGAGCCGCCAAGGAAGGTCTGCCGCTCCTTGCCTCAATCTCCTGGGGGAACCCTAAAACCCTAAAACCCTAAAACCCTAAAACCCTAAAACCCTAAAACCCTAAAACCCTAAAACCCTAAAACCCCAAAACCCTAAAAAACCCTAAAAAACCCCAAAAAGCCCCAAAACCCATGGAACCCCCCCCCGGAAGCACTTCCCCCTGTCAATCCGGGGGCAAGAGCCACAAGCCTCTGAAAGGGCTCCTGGCAGAGCTCCCGGATGGCCAGGTACATCTCCAGCCCCTCCTTCATCCCCGGGATCCTCCTCGCCTCTCCGCTCTCTTTTTCGGAGGTCTTAGGGTTTAGGGGTTTAGGGGTTTAGAGGTTTAGGGGTTTAGAGGTTTAGAGGTCTAGAGGTTTAGAGGTTTAGAGGTTTCGAGTTTTGGGTGGTCTTAGGACATCTTAGAGAGGGAAGAGTCAGGTTTGCGACTTTTTCGTGCGGGTTCGGGTGGGAGGAGAGGCTCCTGCAGCCTCGGGTCGAGAAGCCACTTCTGGAGCATGTACTTGGCCTTCGGTGGGGGGGCAGTGCGCACCGGTCGCGGCTGTCTTTTGCCGCCGAGCTGCGGTGACCTCCGCGTCCGTAGCCCAAGGACCTGCACTGAGCTGGCTCTGCACAACCTCGGCAAGGCAGGCCAGGTTCGGTTTAGGGTTTAGGGTTTAGGGTTTAGGGTTTAGGGTTTAGGGTTTAGGGTTTAGGGTTTAGGGTTTAGGGTTTAGGGTTTAGGGTTTAGGGTTTAGGGTTAGGGTTTAGGGTTTAGGGTTTAGGGTTTAGGGTTTAGGGTTTAGGGTTTAGGGTTAGGGTTTAGGGTTTAGGGTTTAGGGTTTAGGGTTTAGGGTTTAGGGTTTAGGGTTTAGGGTTTAGGGTTAGGGTTTAGGGTTTAGGGTTTTAGGGTTTAGGGTTTAGGGTTTAGGGTTTTTAGGGTTTAGGGTTTAGGGTTTAGGGTTTAGGGTTTAGGGTTTAGGGTTTAGGGTTTAGGGTTTAGGGTTTAGGGTTTAGGGTTTAGGTTTTCGGGTTTCGGGTTTCAGGTTTCGGGTTTAGGGTTTAGAGAACTCAGCAACGATCTTGTCCAAACCACCCACTTGCTGAACTCTTGCTGCCAAACTGCGCCCTCCCAAGAAGCTTCGAAGCCATACCTGTCGAATTGCTGCAACTTATGGCTTGCAAGGGTGGTAGTAAGACAGGGGGGGATGGACCGTAGGATGGAGGCAGAGATCAGGTTGAAAGCTCAGTGATGCTTTTTTTCACATGCAAATCCAGCATGGGCGCATTGCAGGAGGAGCTAACGTTCTCAAAGGAAAATTGTGACTCTTTGGGGAGAAATGCGACGATGCGAACAGCATCGTCCAAACGCATTCAACTAAAACAGAATACAAGCTCAGCGGAACAAACACACCACGCGCAGAATTCGCCCATAAATGAAAGCGGCTTCAATGCCATTCGCCACCTATGCCAGCCAGAAGCCGGCGAGAATGGCTCCAAAACAAAATTGCATGCAAAGCACAATCTCTGATCCTCGGTGCTTCGACCTGAACGCGATTTAGACATAGCAGAGTCTTATCAAAGTCACGGGATTCCACCCTTTTGCATCACCAAGCTCACCAGACTACCAACCTAATGCAACTACTCGCGCTCAGAGCCCCTGTGTGCCACCCTAGTATGCGTCGTCCAACTCAACATACGACAAGGAGTCGACTTAACCTTTGGTTCAGGGTTTAAGAGTTTATGGTCTGGGGTTTGGGGCCGGTTTAGGGTATAGGGTATAGGGTTGAGGGTTTACCCCCCCCCCCCCCCCACATCAATGGCTTGACTGGCTTGGAGATCGCCTTGTCACGATTGGGCACCTTGCATGATCCACACAGTACACAAAGCAAACAGACGGAGACCAAGCTTCTGCAAGCCCCGTTCTACGCAAGTATGTTCCAACATGTTTCAACCATTGCGGTTCAATCATCGGCTCATTTTCCAGCCACGGCACAGATGCTTCAAGAGCAGCTCCTGCCTTGCTTCCTGGCCCAGGGCTCGCCAGACACGACAAACTTGACGCATGCCAGCATGCCTGCTGTGCGGTGGCGCTCGCAGCTTTGGCCCAGAGGGTGTGCAGCTCCTCCTGGAAGGATGCCTGAGTTCAGAAGTCTATAGCTTATACAGGCCGGTGGCCTCTTCATCTGTTCCCCTTATGCCTTACTATGGCCCCTAGATACCCTAATAAGAACCCCCTACAAAACAGAAACCCTACTAAAAGAGACCACCAAGCAATCGAATCTATAACCATCTCCAGAATGCACTAGGTGCAACTTGTCTGAAGTCGAGGTGCGCTTGTGTACTCGATGATGGACTGCCAGGGCGTCATGTGAGAGAGGTAGGAGCAACAACTGTTGCTTTAAAGCGCTTTCTTGCATCAGAGGGCGCTTGAGGCTACAAGTTGTGATGAGCGCTTCATGAGCCCCGGCCTCGTCCATCAGCTTCAGCAGGAGGTCAAGAGTCATCCGCATGTCTCTTAAAGCTCTACACGCACAGGCAGCACACACCCTTTTATGCCAATCCTAGAAACCCTGGACCTACGAAGAAGCCTTGCGTTTAGAGTCCTGGAGCCGTGTAATGGCTCTGAAAGGTGTCGATGAGTATTTCTCTACCATGCAGAGCCCGCAGCGACTGGCGCGCAACAGCATACTCGGCTCTATCAGTTTCCAGGATGTACTGTTTCAAGCACCGGACACGCAAACAAATCCAACTCGAATTGAACATGTCCGGTGCTAAGAGCCTTGAGTATCACAAACGACGATTGGCTAAGCAACCATTTCAGGGCCACTCGTTCATTCTGCTTAAAGTTGATTCAGGGATATTGAGGGCAAGACTCGGCCAGACTTCCAAAAAGATATACAGGCGCTGTGGTGGAGACATGCACTTAAACATGGCTGCACTTCTTTCTCAGGCAAGAGGAGCATTTCGCTGCGGTCAGCCGCAGTCGGCACCGCCTTTGGGTCAGAGTGCGCGACATCGCTCGGAGCTCAGCGAGCCCTCGAAGCCAGAGCATCTCTCCAAAACGACGGTCGCTCTTCGGGTACACGAACATGAGCCCCCTAAGTCTGAGGCTCTGTTGTATAATCCGAACCCTCCAACAGGGACCAGATTTCAGAGAACCGCCCACATCGCACTGCACACCCAAAACACCGCTCCTGCGTCACCCACCTCACCCGAATCCAGTGAACCTCGTGTCTGGCCCGTAGCAATGAACCCTGCTCGCCAGCATACTCAGGCTCTGGCGGTGGACGTGCTGTGGTGGACATGGTGGGTGGTTCCAGGAACAAGCCCATTCAGGAGATTACTCTGCTGTGGTGAAAGAAGAGGCATTAGGACAATGAACATGGAAAGGGGCTTGTTCATGTTGCTCCGCACGGCATTGGCACGCAGGGAACACATGTACCGGCGGCCAAACTCCTATACGAGGCTGTCGCTCTTCGTAACGTCAGCCCAGGCTAAGCGAATTCTCAAACCGAAGTTCAATGTACCGCGAGGAAAACGAAGTGACCAGAGGAGAGCTACTGCAGAAATGGACCCCTTTCAGGCCCTCAGGGCAGCTGGCTTAGCATGCTCCTCGCTAGAAGCACACGTTGCCTGCACACGGCTTGTTGAAGCTTGGCTCAATTTCGTTCAGGGGGGTGGGGAAACCCTAAACCCTAAACCAGAGCACACAGGGCACACGGGAAATGCCGCCTGTGCAACTGCAACTTCTGCAGGTCGCCACTCAGCCTCCAAGCTTCATTATTCTGTTTGTTACCGCTTGCTGCAGCTTCTTGGCAGCTTCTTGCGACTCTGAAGACCACGACAGCTTTGTGCAGCCTGCCTGGCATGCTCCTCCTGGAGGAGGCCACTTGCAACACTGAAGAGAACAGCTACCGTGGGTCTTTCCGGAAAACGCTTGCCGGAAAGTGCTTGCTGGCCGTCCTCCAGCTTAACCCGCAGCGCTTTTGTGCTTTTGCTCCCGTTGATTGCACCTCGGCGCAATGTCAGGGATGCCAAGCCCGAACTGCGTGAAACTATAGGTCCAGTCAGCCCAGACAACTATACTAGACCACTCCTCGTAGCTCCGCAAGCCCACAACTGAGTAGCACACACTGCTCGGGCCTGCACTTCAAGTGTTGCTGAGTCTGAGAACACTCAGCCGTTTTAAACCCTGAGCTACTTCACAAGTGAGCCTGGCCACTTTGCCACGACTCTCTTCTTGAGCTGTAGCCGAGTCCTGAACAGTTTTGCAGCTGTGTTACGGTCTCTCTCGCGCAGCTGCCTTGAAGTGCAACTGCGTCCTGCGTGCCAGCCGCAACATCTGCTGCTGCGGTCGACGAAGGGTCTTGCTTTGCCTCCCCACCATCACCCTAAACCCTAAACCCTAAACCCTAAAACCCTAAAACCCTTGCAATGTTATGTGATTCAGCTGTAGAAGTTTAGCCGGCCTCCGTCATTGGGGCCTGACCCGCCGACGCGACAGGACCTCAGAATGGGAAAGGAAGAAGCCAAATTCTGAAACAAGCCAAAGAGTATAAACAGGAAGACGGCTTCCACCAATAACAATGACAAGAACATGACTAAAGTTAACAATACTAACAATATTCATGATATGAAGAATATTCATAATACTCAAATGCATTCATAGGGCCAATAAAACAACACCAATTCGGCTGGCATCCGGGGCCGAGGCGTTCAATCTCTTCCCCGGCCTCGGTTCATGAAAGGGGAAAACTTCTCAAAATCCCGCTATATGGACCATAAACCGGAGGTTCACTTGGGTACTTATAAGAAGGGTTATAAGTAAGGAAACTATGGTCACAACCCTTCTTTAGGGCCCTTATACCCCTTATGATCAGTACCCTAAGGGAACCAGCGAGTCCGTCGCGACGGCGCCCGGGACTTCGCGGTGCTGTTACTACAACAAAGCAAGTGGGCATTTCCCAAAAGAGGGGGTCCCCCTTTTATTATACCCCAAATAAAAAAAGAATTCCCTTAAAGGGACTACCCAAAAAGGGTTTTTAAAACAAAAAATCCCAAATAGAAAAGAATTCCCTTGAAGGAACTCCCCAAAAAGGTCTTTTAAAAAATTCTCCCCAAATAGAAAAGAATTCCCCTTAAAGGGACTCCCCTTTTAAAAATACCCCCAATGTTCATCCCCCCCCCCCCCCCACCAAAAAGTGATCTGGCGGGGGCAAGAGGCCATCTTGCAGATGTCCAGAAGCTCGAGCTGGGAGTCCTGTCCGAATCCAGGTCGGAGGGTTAGGGTTTAGGGTTTAGGGTTAGGGTTAGGGTTTAGGGTTTAGGGTTTGAGGGTTTGGGTTTAGGGTTTAGGGTTTAGGGTTTTAGGGTTTAGGGTTTAGTGAGTTTAGGGTTTAGGGTTTAGGGTTTAGGGTTTAGGGTTTAGGGTTTAGGGTTTAGGGTTTAGGGTTTAGGGTTTAGGGTTTAGGGTTTAGGGTTTAGGGTCTAGGGTCTAGGGTCTAGGGTCTAGGGTCTAGGGTCTAGGGTCTAGGGTCTAGGGTCTAGGGTCTAGGGTCTAGGGCTCAGGGTTCAGGGTTTAGGGCTTAGGGTTTAGGGTTTACGGTTTAGGGTTTAGGGTTAATTCTGAAGGCTTTGGAGATTTTGGGGGTTTTTGGGTGGTTTTGAGGCTACAAGGACCCTTAACAAAATAAACCCCCCAAATAGTAGGATCCCCTTCAAATAAGGACCCCCCAAATAAGGTTCGCCTCGTCCGTTGCGGCAGCCACGGCGTGGAGGAGCTGCGCGACAGCCTCGTCGCTGCAGTCTGCCTGGGCACCCGAAGCAGCACGTTTGGGGGTTTCCGAATTTAGGGGGTACCTTATTGAGGTCCTTATTACAAAGGAATCCTACCATTTGGGGGTTTATGTTCAGGGTCCCCTATTTTCGTAAACCCCCATTTGATTCTTTCGTAGCGTTGAACCAGCAAGCTGGCCCTGAAACCTGGGTCGCTCCCTGATTTGCAAAGCAGGACTCGGAAACCAACGCTTTGTCGAAGCATGACTGACTCGATCCATGACCACTTCGAACCATGCTTCCGAAACCATATGGCTTCGAACACCCAGCTGCTGTGGAAAACACCAAATGCTGAGTAACAATCATTGGAGACCAGAGTTGGTTTCTGAGAGTCGGAAAAACTTGCAGCCCCGAGTCCGACTGGACCTCGCACTTCTCCTGTGCACAAACCCCATGTGTGCATACAAGCGGCGCAGTCTTTCAAGGCTTGTCGCATATTTCCGACAAGGGAAACGACCTTGTCAGGCCTGGACGACAGCGGTGTGCCACTTTTGAAGACAAACTCAGTCTGAGCTAAAACAGTTAGGACGGCACGCGGCAATCTCCACCAGCCAAGCCTCGTGATGGGCTTCGCAATGTCATGTCACTGTAATGCATGCAAGCGAGATGGAGTGGAGCAAGTCATGAAAGCCGTCGATGATGGTGAAGCTCAATGCTGCAGAGAATCATGCACTGGACGGAAGTCGCCACCCGCACTGAAGACAGTGTAGATTGCCTGGCCGCTGCTGGGCACGACGCCGACGCCTAAAAGTTCCAATGCCGAAATTGCCTGCCACCAGTCGCTCACCGTCTCGTGATACTGCCTGAGGAGGCGAGGGCACGCAACCCCCTTTTCTACCCCAAGTAGAAGAGAATCCCCTTAAATCAAGGGACCTCCATAAAGGGTACCACTATTTTCGGAAACCCCCAATTTGGGTTTCTTGGGGTTTCCTCTGCTGCAGCATGCAGAACGCTGAACTCACTTGCAGCCGGGGCTCTTCCACGCATCCAAGAGACTGGACCAGCAGCTGGGGATCTCGCCTCAGAACATTGCCACAAAGCTCAAACCTAGAGCAAAAACTCCACCCTCTCGCACCATGCACGGGATGAGCATGGAAGTTGGGGATGTGTTGCAAGGTCAAGGAAGAAGACTCCTCAGCAGCAGACTAGCTAACACTACTCTACGTACGGTTTTTCAATCAAGCATTCAAGCTTCGGGGCGTCGCGCTACCTTCATTTTTGTCTGTTCATCTGCGGGAACAGTTGCGTTTGTGGTTGGTGGACCTGGCTCTAAACCAGAAACAATCTGAACACCTTGCAGGGGAGTCTTCAGTTGAAAGGACCAATCACTCTGACGCTCTTGAAGCATGGAAATGGATCACGCTAACTCAACTCTTAACACCCCTCAACCCTATACCCTCACTGAGGCCAGAGCCAGCAGAAGCTCCAGCTGTTCGAAGCGCCAAGGCTTTGGTGCCTCAAATGCGTAAAGAGGCGTCGAAGGGTCAGTTTTCCAAATTGTGATATTTGACTTGTGGGAGACACCTTCCTTACACACCTGCACAACCCCCAGGCAACCACAATAGCTGGCCCAGAGGTTCCAGCACAGAACTTCTATGGCTGTGATGCCGAGCGCGTGGATATCAAGCCTGCCCCGGCACACGAGCGTCGATCAAAAGCCATCACCGACAGTTCTGTATACACCCCGGAAGCCTGCTCTTGTACTGTCTGCAGAAGTTTGGCCTCAGCTTGTGGGAAGGCACAGCATGCATCTCATCCAGCAGGCTCTGCATTCTTCACCCGCAAGAGCTCTTGATTGTCCCGGTTCTGTCACAGGGTTACCCGGATCTCCCTTCTGGAGCGATAGTAGCACCTTCTGATCTTGCACCCGCCAGCGCTCTTGCAGCAGCCACACAAACAGCAGGCAAAATCGAAGGCCGCACAAAGACAAGCAATACAGAGGGGTCGGAGGCAGATAAGCGACCCGAGACAACCGCAGGCACGCACGCAGAAAACAAAAAAAAGAACACGAACGCACAAACACACAAACAAGCAAACAAACAAAGCAAGAAGCAAACAAGCAAGCAACAAACAAACAAACACACAAACAGCTAAACAAACAACTGTGTGTGTGTATACGCTCTATTTCATGTACATTTGCTACACGTTGATGGAGAGGTCTTCCATGTCCGCTGGCCGTCAGCCAGCTTTGCTTTTGAGAGGCTTGAATCCTTCGGTGAATCCTTCGGTGAATCATTCGGTGAATCCTTCGGTGAATCCTTCGGTTCTCCATCGTCGCCTGCCATATTCGCGAAAAACTCTCGTCCCTGGGCTGCTGACCGCTGTTCCAGGTAGTCGGCGCCGAAGCCTCGGCTGGAGATACTCAGGTCATCCAAGCGTCACCTGTGGCTGTTGTGGCAGGGAGCAGTGGACCATCCAGCAGGAGGCCGGCCAGTATCTGCAATCTCCGCCTGAAAGCCGGCACTGGAAGAGCACAGAAGGCGCTGGTGCCACAGACTCAAAGCTGTCCAAAAAGCTCCAAACCTATGTCTGTCACTCGCCAGAGGTTCTCCTTCGAAGCAAAATTTAGATGCTTTTGAGACGCGACTGAGAAGGCTCAAACATGGCTTCAAGGCTTCACCACCACCACAGGCTTCTTTCTCCTCCCCAGTCCAGCTTTGCGAGTCGACGGCCAGCCCCAGATCGCAGAGCCAGAAGGAGGCCTTGTCCTTCGAATCACTCGAGCACGTGTGCATGAGTGTGCATGAGTGTGCTACGTGGAATCTCCCCGGGTTCTCACCGAGATCTTCCCCGGGTGCTCTCTCTCTCTCTCTCTCTCTCTCTCTTCTTCTTCTGCCCAGCGAAGAGGCCCCCCGAAGAGGACCCCGGCCACGCTGGCCCGCTGTCTCTTCTTCTGCCCAGCGAAGAGGCCCCCCGAAGAGGACCCCGGCCACGCTGGCCGGCTGCTCTGTCCGAGGTGAAAGTTTCAGGCACCGTGCCTTGACGGCCCCCAATGGTGGTTTGAAGTGTTTCGTTGCCACTCTCAAGGGCAAAAACGAGGCACTACACGGGTCCCCCTCACTTGTGTGGCCCCCCCGGGGAAGCTTCGTCTTGGTCATCTTCTGTCTCTCTCTCTCTCTCTCTCTCTCTCTCTCTCTCTCTCAGCTTCATGTGTGCACACCCACCTCCCCATCATCCAAGCTCAAAGTTCCGTCCTGCAAGCATTCAAGCTCACAGGGACTACACCGACCACACAGATCTTCCCGGCAAATCCTCCGAGCTCTCGTTGCAAATGAGAACCTTTCGGCACTCACATGGCGTTCCACAGCACCAGCATGAAGGTCGACACAGAAGAGCTTGACCGCTGGGGCGGCGGCGTTGTGGGAGTTGACGTCGCGATGCCATGCCAAAGGAGCCTCACAAGCATGTCGCTCATAGGGATGGCTGATATTGGCGAATGGGCATGGCAACTCTTGCTGCACAATCCGTGACCTGGCCCAGAAACCTGCGCATGGAGCATGCCATGTCACAGACGCACGTTTTGGCTCGCATGCTGGTCACGAAAGCCCTGGTCTGCTGCGCGGCTGATCAGTCCGGCTCCACCGACAGACATGAAGCAGTCCTGAGCTCCAAAAATTGCCCAAGTGTGCTTGCAACCACTCTGGACCACCTTTCTGGACTCACCTAAAATCTAAACTTATCTAAAGACTAGGCCAAGCTTCATCCATCAGCCCCAACAGTGCAGGAATGGCAGAAACGAGGCCTGGTATCAGCACCAGGCCTCTATCCTCAGCCGCCTCCTTTGGCCCCCGCTTTCTTGGCCGTGGCTGAGACTGCGTCGCGAGACAGCCTAGGCACATGCTGCCTTTCAGCAGCTGACAGGGACGAAGGGCCCATCTGCAGCCCAACATTTGTCGTGCACATCGAGAGATGCAAGCGAGATGCGGCTGGAATGTGCTCTGGGTCGGAGCCGGTGGTGAGCGTTTTCTCGCGGCACGGCACCTTGGCGGCCCCATCTCTCGCGTGACGTGGCACGATTTCGCCGTACACAGCGCCCTGATGCTCCCTGCATTCCGGTCACCAGGGATCGGCAGCAGCATCGGCAAAGATGCCTGCAATGTCCTCACATTGGCAGCGCAACTCAAATGGTGGATGCACCCTTACTTGCTCAGACAGCACCATTAAGTTGTCGAAGGCGACCCTGTGACACATTACGTTGAAGGGGTGCCTTCTGGCATCCCAAGCTGCGACTTTGATTAAAACTGCCACTTCTCTATGTCAGAACGGGACGCCTTTCCCAAGCGAGTGTAGGGGCAGACGCCTTCAGATACCCCCTCATGCTCTGCCAGCCGCTGCTACATGCGGCTGAAGGGCCACATGCCGAGCGAAGTGCTCAGCGTTTGCGTCCGCCAGTCCTTCCTGACAGGCTGTCATGAACAAAATGCAAAAGTATGTCAACCAAATGCTGAACGACTTGTACATAATTATTCGTGTATATTCTTTGTCCAGTGGCCAGGGCATCATCGTCCGTCTCCTTTATCCGCTCGCCTTTCAGACTTCTCTCAACGGCTCCCATTCCCAAAATGCAGGCAATCACATCAACAACTCCACCCATAAATACATAAATAAATATATAAATATATATATATATATATATAACAATGCTTCTCCAGCATCAAGAAGGCCAATGTGGTTCCAAGTGGCGCAAGCCATCCAGCTCAGGGAGTTTGGGCACGATGCCGTAGAATCGCTCTCGCCGCCCGCCCTGCCTGAGCTGAACGGAAGTCCGGTGCCATAACAAAAGGAAAAACGGGCCATGCAGGCAGGCCACATTCCAAACCAAGCCTCTATGCTCTCTGCGCACTTGTCCCAAGAGTAGAAACCTGTGGTCTCCTTGGCAAATTCCGAAGGGGCTTGCTGTCAAGCTCGGTCTGCATGATCCGATCTGAGCTATTGAAAAGAAAAAGAGCCGAACACCCTGCCGAGCATCCCCGAGATTGAAGACGGCCCCAAGCACGGGCACACCCTTCGCCAAGAAGTAGGACGAGTTCAGGCTAAAGCTGTCCACCGCAGAGCCTCACGTGCATGTCCGATCACCGCTTGCACTGCGCTGCAACACAGTCGACACGCTCAGCTGCCGATGAGGCTGTCGCCAACACCGGACTTGCCTTTGCCCAAGCAAGCAAATGCAAGGGATCGCATGAACTTTGCAAAAATACTGCCACTGATTCTGACCTGGTGGATGCCATGGTGCAAACGAGCAGAACCGGTGCTCTTGAAGCACGTGCCACGTCCGCGTTGTCAACGCCCACAATGGAACCAACAGCTGGAAAGCCGACACCATCGACAATGACCTTCGGAGCATCTCTTGGGTTCCGTGGAGCACTTTACAACAGTGAGGTGGCACTCACTGAGAGGACGCCAGAATTGCCATGTGGGAACGCCAGGGCACGGACAACCCGCTTGCCAGCTGATAGCTCCTCTATTTTCGCCTCGATCCTGCGGGCACAGGCAGACATGCGGCACGGACATCTCAAAGCCAACAGAGGATTTTGTCTGATCAAGGTCTGACTGCAAAAGATTGGCAATACCCATTTAAAACAAAAAAAAACTGGCAAGTTCAGGCGAAGAGCTTCTGTAGCCACTGTGCACTTGTGCCCTGGTCGCCGGATAGGAAAGAGCGGGTGAAGCCCGAGTAAAACACCAAAGGCGCCTCCTCTCCAGCAACATATTCGATGCCTCTGCCAGATGAGCAGAAACTCTGAATCTGTCGAGATGCTTGAGGATTTGGATGCGCTGGTGATGCACTGACATGCACATGCTCGTCTTACTTAAGCGGGAGCAGGCACGAGTAGGAGGAGTAAGGGGTGTAGGAGTAGGTACTGGGCACGCATGGTGTAGGACAAGTGGTAAGCATATGCAAAAACCGACCCCCTCCACTCCCGAAGCCTTAACGACCCTAAGCCTCAAAACTCTCAACTCAAGACTGTCGAAATGCCGCGGGTACAGTAAATGGTGGTGATGATGGAAACTGTGGAGTGGTGATGCAAGGGGTGCTGGCGGTGGTGGGGTGGAAGTGGTAGTGGTAGTGGTAGTGATAGTGGTAGTAGTAGTGCTAGTGGCAGCACCACCACCACCACCACCACCACCACGACGACGACGACGACGACGACGACGACGACGACCACGACGACCACGACCACCAACACGACCACGACGACCACGACGACCACGACGACCACGACGACCACGACGACCACGACGACCACCACGACCACCACGACCACCACGACCACCACGACCACGACCACCACCACGACCACGACCACCACGACGACGACGACGACGACCACCACCACCACGACCACCACCACGACCACCACCACGACCACCACCACGACCACCACCACGACGACCACGACCACCCACGACCACCACGACCACGACGACCACGACGACCACGACGACCACGACGACCACGACGACCACGACGACCACGACCACGACCACGACGACCACGACCACGACGACCACGACGACCACGACGACCACGACGACCACGACGACCACGACGACCACGACGACCACGACCACGACCACGACCACGACCACGACGACCACGACGACCACGACGACCACGACGACCACGACGACCACGACGACCACGACGACCACGACGACCACGACGACCACGACGACCACGACGACCACGACGACCACGACGACCACGACGACGACGACGACGACGACGACGACGACGACGACGACGGCCACGACCACGACCACGACCACGACCACGACCACGACCACGACCACGACCACGACCACGACCACGACGACCACGACCACCACCGCGACCACCACCACGACCACCACCACGACCACCACCACGACCACCACCACGACCACCACCACGACCACCACCACGACCACCACCACGACCACCACCACGACCACCGCCACGACCACCACCACGACCACCACCACGACCACCACCACGACCACCACCACGACCACCACCACGACCACCACCACGACCACCACCACGACCACCACGACCACCACGACCACGACGAACACGACGACCACCACGACCACGACGACCACCACGACCACGACAACCACGACGACCACGACGACCACGACGACCACCACGACCATGACGACCACCACGACCACCACGACCACCACGACCACCACGACCACCACGACCACCACGACCACCACGACCACCACGACCACCACGACCACCACGACCACCACGACCACGACGACGACGACGACGACGACGACGAGGACCACGACACCATTGAACAGATAGTTCGGACAAATACTTCGAAAAAGTCATAAAAGCTTTACCTTGGAGACGTCGTCGTCGCCGTCGTCCCGGCAGCAATGGTTGTTGTGGGTGTTGTTGTGGAACTTATAGTAGTCGTAGTAGAGTCATAGCAGCAGACGTCACTAGTAGTCCTGGTGATGGCCAACCTCAGAGGCCGCGGTAGTGCGGGTGTAGTACTGTTATTCCTGCAGTCCTGGTAATCCTGGTAGCACTGTTAGATACTGGTGGTATCAGTACGTAGCAGTCGCAACAACGGCCACAAAACAAATAGAACTGCTGCCAGCCTGCCTTCTTTGGCACACCATTTGCTTAGCAAATCGGGTGCTTCACATTGCGTCGCGGGCTTGATGTAGGCCAACTCATGTGCCTGGGCTTTACAGGTATCTATGTTTCTCATTTTGTGTTCTTATAGTTCTCAGTATCTGTATCTTTATCGTTCAGGGCATTCTTGTGATTCTTGTTCATGGAGCTCAAACAAGGCCCAGGGCCTAGGGACTGGAAGAACACAATTGGACATTGAAAAATGCAACTGCCAGGCCATGGTATTTACTTCGATCAGCCGAGGGATGTGGGAGCGCTCCTGCAGATTCTTTTCGGATACTTCGCCGCACGCTTTTGTCGGAACTCCCCCCCCCCCGGGATTCTAAGGGCGTGGGCATGCTGGGGATACTCGGCGAGATTGGGCGGGCTCCTTGCGGGAAAATTTTTAGGGTTGGGCAACTCGGTGGGACTCTCTGCCAACTTCTGCACTCCACGGAGCGCTCAGGATTCTGGGTGGCAGGGGCGGAAGGCACAAGGATACTCGTGACTCTCCGCGTGCTTCTCTGCGGGAACTCCTCGACGGAACTCTCTGCAAGCTCTATCGGGATTCTTGGGGCTCTCTGCGAAGCGCTTAGGGGGACTAGGCCAGGAGACCAGGGCGAACAACCCCTCACGCAATTCTTACGCCGCCAGAGGGGCAGATAGGCCAGCCTTGCGCAAGGCAGCCAACAAGCCCAGGCACACGGAGGTCTTGCCTGAGATTTGGGATTGCGAGCGCTTTTTGGCACACTTTAGTCGACGCCCCATAAAGGGATGACCAATTTGGATCAACTTGCATTTGTGGATGCACAGCTTCGTGCTCTACAGAGCTTTGACTTGGCATTCTTCAGGGCTTTGGGCGTATGAATTCTACTTAAAGACGACAAAACACATATGGAAGACAGGTCTGCAGTGGCCAATGGTAGGATTGGAGGGTTCAACATGGCTGATAATCGCGTAGCATCGGGGAAGTCGACATGTACGGAGAGCATATGAATGCACTTGCGTGATGTGGTTTCACTTCCAACCAACATCAACTGAGTCCAAGAGTTTCCATTTCAGAGCTCTGCCCAGCTGCCGACATGTGTCACAGCCCCAGCTACAAACACCCGCACGCAGGTGCTGGGCAGTGCGTTCCGGAGCTCTGTTCCGTGGCCGGCCTGCACAATGCCACCAGGACGCTCTAGTCACTAGTGGCACAACATGACACATACAAGTATCAATGACATTCATGACACATACGTGGATCATGAGCGGCTCGTGCCAGCATTCAGCTGGCTTGCCTGGTTCACTTCAGCCCCTGTAGAGGGCTTGCCATCCAAGAAGTAAGACTTGTCGAGGCCGGCCATGGCAGGCACACACCGGCTTACGTTGACATCATGTTAACATGGATGGCATCTCAGGCAGATTGAAAGCTGCAGGTAGACTCAAGTACCATGCGGCCTCTCTTTCCCTCAACAAGACTGCGTGCTACATCGCATTCTGCGCATTGCTGTCCTCTGCAGCAGCTCACGCACGTCTGTGCTTTCAACTTCACCACAAGGACATGATGGACTGCGCAGTCTGAGATGCCGGGCCAAGCTCTGAAGCGTCGGGCCAAGCTGCTGCAGCAAGTGCCTGTGGCCAGGAGGCCAGGAGACCATGCCAAAACTGCACCCCCTTACCTCCAAACCCTAAGTGCCCGCAACCCCACCTGGCCAGGATGCAGCCACCACGCAGCGCGTCCGTCCATGGCCTGACACGAGCGCGCCGCCCGTGGCCAAGGCATTGCCAAGGCGCTGCAAGATGACACAAGCTGGAGATGCTAAGCTGCCTTTGGGAGCTTTCGCCGCTGACTTCGGCCGATCTTTGCAGCCAGCCGTCGAGCTGCTCGCCCCGCAGGCGTGTCAGCGCCATCCGAACGCTCCAGCCCGAACTGGAAGCGTCCACCTACACTTCGCACCAGAGCGGCATGGGGTGATGTGGGTTTGTGTCGGGCATTGATACTGCGGCCCCCAGCCTGGTAGGTGAGGCAACGCGGCAGACGTGGTGTTGGCAGCGACTGGCCCCTTTGGGCCGCGCGTGCCACCCTGCGCCTCGGCTAAATTCTGCAGCCTCGTAGCCTCAAGGGCCTCAAGGCTACCATGAGCTCTTAAGGCCTGTTTTGCTGCCTGTTCTGTGCTCTCTTGGGCCCCGGCTCTACAGCCATCAATAGCTGAACTTCAAATAACGACTGCTGCAAAGCAGCTTCACCCCGACAGAAAACGTCCTGGCAGATGCGTCGCGACTTGAAGCTCCTGGTTAAATCTCATAAAGACTTAGTGGCCTATCGGACCTATTCTCAACTGTAGGATACCTTCAAGAGTCAAAGTTCTTGCCTTCAGGGCGACGCTCCGAGGTGCATCACCATCATTGCCTTTCTCGACCTGCAAGGTTGCATTGTCGGTGCCACTGCCATCCAAGCATCATCGTTTGCATCGCTTGAGGGTGAGCCAATGCCGCCTGTGCCAGCCACACCGTGCTGTAGGAGCCGCTGCCTGAGCTCCGCAGTGTCTCGAGGACGTGCAGACACAATATCCAGGAATGTAAATCAGTAACGTCAATGCAGCCGAAGACACCCAACAGCTCTTGGCAACGAAGATGCAAGTACCCCACCTGCAGCTGGGTCCTCAGCTGCTGTCAAGCACGGACACGGGACACCGCAGAGGGCGATGGCAGCGCGGCAGAACCCGGTAAGGCAGCGACCCCGGAAGAAGCGAGTTCGGCTCTTCCTCTTGGCTTTGTGCCGAAAGGGCCGCCTGCTGTTGCGGCGCCGGTGCCTGTGGTGGCGTCGGTGCCTGTGGCGGCGCCTGCGCCTGAGGCGGCGCCGGCACAGGCGGACCTGGCACAGGCGGTGCCGGAGTCCTGCGCACAGGTGAGGTACTTGGTGAAGCTTCAGCTGATGACTTCAATAATCCTCAACCCTTGCCCTATTTCTTCAGCACACATATTTGGCAGGGGCACGCCTTGCCCCGGAAGCTCCAGCTCCGTCCACCGGCGTCGTGTTCGCTGAGTGCTTTGGCGGAGTCACCGAGGGGACTTGCTGAAAGCGAGTCGGAGCCACACCCTGATGTCTCGGGCTTAGAACCGTCTTTGTCACCTTGGTGTAGGCTTCCTGGGGTGCCAGCCGCCTGGGCGACGCCAAGGCATACTCGAAAAGAGCTCGCCTAGGAGGTGTCGCTGTTGCTGGAGAGGCGTATCCAACCTGTCCCACGACAGCGGAGACCGCGTGTCTCGCAAACATCAGCGGCGTTGGCGAGTGTGCCTCTCACGGTGTGACAAAGCTCTTCCATGTTCTCACGTGTTCTCACGTGTTCTCACATGTTCTCACATGTTCTCACAGTGTTCTCACATGTTCTCATGGCTTCCCCCCGCCCTCCCCTTGCGTTTATCTGCAGGGCCTGGAGATTTTGACAGGCACAACCGGTTTGGGGGCGGCATCGAAACATGTCGTGCAAGGTTGTGCAAGTGTTGGACCTAGGGCGGTCCTTGGGGGCAATTAAGGGTCCTGAAAATTCCGTAAAGGTCCTTAAAGGTCCTCAGAGCTCCCTCACAGGTCCTTGCAGCAAAGGCCTTAGGGCTCAAGCCTCATGGACTTCAGACTCCCCATGTTTGCATCGGTCTTTGGGTCAACTCCAGCGCTTGGAACGGAGCCATTCCACTGCACTGTGCCCTAACCCTAAACCCTAAACCCTAAACCCTAAACCCTAAACCCTAAACCCTAAACCCTAAACCCTAAAAGGCTGCTCCGCTCCCAGGTTCCATGGAACATCTTGTGCACACGCCCACGAGCTGTCGTAAATGTCTCACCCTCCTCAACCCTAAACATCCCTAAGCTCTTGAACTCTATGAAGACCTACTCAGGCTTTCTGAAGCTTACTGTGCCATTATTGTTTTGGACTTTGCCCGCTGGGTCCGGCCCGCCTGTCTCACGCGCACGGCTGCAGCAATCCCATTTGGCGTGTGAACACGGACTGCAGCAGTGCTTCGAGACGGATCGCGAGCAGACAGCGGTGGCGGGTACGGAGTCATGGGCGTCGTCGCACCACACCAGCCCCCGCGCAAGGGCGAAGCCGAAGCCAGGAATCCGGGAGGCATCGGATGCATCGGTGAAGGCAGTGGGGATGCCCCACGCTTTGTGGCCCCGACAGGGCGGTCGCTGGATAAGTCAATGACCACATGCGGAGACGAGCCAGCCTCCCCAATCTGGGCCACAGACCGGGATTGACCATTGATGGCCCTCATCATGCGAATCTGTTTCCAAGATGCTCTGCTATTCTCTACTCCTGTGCTGAGGCTACGAATGAATGGCGGCTGGGGCTTTTTGAGCTACTGGGGGGGGGTCCAGGAACTCTGTCGACTCAGTCGGGGTGGGTCTGCGCGCCAGGGCATGTAGCTGAGCCTGTGATGTGCCTGTGATGTGTCTGATGTGACTGATGCGCTGCACATATCAGCGAGCAGACCTTGATCAAGTGCAGAACGGCAGCGACAAGCAGCTAAAACTGAAAACCGTTACTGTAAAAACCTCTGACATCCTCTGAACATACGTCGCACGCCTGTCTCAGTAGACTCCGAGCAGGCCTCGATGCCTGGCAATGGCAAATCCTCTTTGTGAGCGCGCGCCACCGCTCAAGCCAATGTCTCTCTCTGCCGAAATCTTCAAGATGCCTGTTGCGCTTTAACAATCCTACGATTCGATGTCTCGTTGTGGCCAGCCAGCTGCCATCCAACACCTCTCCCGAAGGGCGCCAACCAAAGACTTTGCTGGGGCCAGAGTGGTCCGCAGAAGCAGGCGCCGTCGGTCGAGAAATCCAGTCTATGGGCAGCAGCTGAATGACTTAATATACCTTAATATTAATATGACTGGCGGGCCCGTTGTAGGGCCCATTGTACCTCTGAATGCCGCGGTCATCGACTTCACGGCAGGCAGCTGGCGGCTTGAAAAAAGGATCTCAACGTTCCGAAGACGAGCGAGCTCAGACTGCCACCTGGCGAGAACTAGACATGAGGTGCCGCCCAAGGCCACAAACGACAACAAATTGTAAATTGGTAGCTTCCGGGGTAGCTTCAAAACAGCTTCACACGTGCGGAATCAGAACTTCTGCTACGCTCGTCACTTCAGACGAGCAGAAATAAGGCATGACGAAGACTCACGAAGTTATCCGCGGGCAAGGTTGTTATAATATGTTTATGGTCTATGCATGTCTATGCGACAACATCGACAACGGCGCATGCTGTGCCGGCTGTGCCCCAGATCCCGGCTGGAAGCAACACCCTGAACGGGCTGAGCGTGCCTTCGCTCACGGTCGGCAGCTCGCTTGGCACCTCGAGATCCGCAGCCCTACTGCCAGCACGGCTAGATCTACTCGTCCGACCATTCGTTGTTCAAAGTCCTCACCCCTCACCCTGCACCTCCCGTTGCTTCACAACCAGCTTCTGCATTGTAACGTTTAGCCGAGTTTAGCCTTCATCTCCGCCCGCCTCCTCCACTTTCGGCGCTTTCCTCGGCGCTGCCTCTGGCACGCGGAGCATGCCGCCGCGTGCACAAGGCAAGCACGCAAACATGCACGAAGAGGCCGTCAAAGCTGCACAGCGCGTGCGTGCGCCCCCACCTCTGGCTGAGGCACGAGGCAGGCGTCTTCCAGCACGGCCGGGTAGAGAGATGCCTCGGCTCGGCCATATGCTCAGCCGGTGTGGCGCCCTTTCGACTAGCCGACTAAAACCATGACTACATCAGTACTGTCAGTACTATATCAGTACTATATTTTCGGAAAGCTCAGGGCCGGGCGCGGGACTCGAAGAAGAGCCAGGAGGCCACCCCGGCTGAGGGCCTGCTCACGCGCGTGAGGAGACCGCCGCATGAAGTGAGGACGTGAGTCAAAAGACCACAGGAAACTTCAAGCTCCGGAAGCTTTTATACATTTTCCAAGCCTTTCGTTTGCTTTGAACTTGGAGCCGTCATCTCCTAAGCAGATCCAAAAGCACACGAGCATCCGACAAGCATCCTGGAATCCTAGACGTGACTGCGCAACTCGGACACTCCGGCCAGGGTTCCCAGGGCTTGAATCGTGGAGATGTCCACCGAGTTCGCAGCCAGCATGGCCTCCCGCAGTCTGGAGTCTCGGCGCGGCTCGCACTCGACAACTCGAGATCCCGGCTTCCAGAGCTGGCAAGAAGGGGTTCAGCACCATGCCCTCAGCGCACCACGGGCACGCGATCCCATCCGGACGTGCGCAGCTGGGGAATCTGGGGACAGCGCCTGGCCCGGAAGGCGGACGCCGCGCGAGCCGCGCAGCGCCAGGCGCCAGCACTTCTGCCTCCCAAGGGAAAGGGATTGATACGCCTCAAGCTCTGCCGGTGTCAGGATGCTCGGGGAACCGAGCTTCAAAGCACGCCTCTCCGGGCTACCCTTCTCAACATCTCCCGGCTAAATATGCTACAGCCTACCCAATCCAACGCCGGCTCCTCCGCTGCGCGGCGCCCGTCTACTCCGGTCACTTCTTGGTTAATTACGGACCATGTTCCACCCTCCCCTTCTCTCTCCACACCCTTCCCCGCACCTTTCAAGGCTCGTCGCCTGCGAGGGGCAGAAGGTTGCAAAGGCTACTTTGGTTCCCCGCGACGTGCCACAGCACCTTCCTTCACAGGTGGAAAGCATGGGAAAAAAGTGCTGGAACGTCCCCCCCAGCGTGCCTCTGATTTTCCCAGCGCCCAATCCTGCAGAGCCGGCAACTGCGCACGAACACCCCAGCTGTGAGGAGGCCCCAGCACCACCCTCGAAGCTCGAAAGCTACTGCGACGCCGACGTCGCTCTGCAGTCATCTGCAGTCCTCCATGCCAGTGCAGGCACTCAATTCCACGAAGCTGCGCCGCACCTCCAGACTCCGCGCACTTGCAGGCTCTCCACTTCCACGCCCTCTGCACACCCTTCCGATGTCCCCACCATGTCCTCTGACACCCTCTACACAGCCCTGCATCATCGAGTCTACGTTTCGCCTTTTGTGTCCTTATATGTCACTCACTACACAACTCTGTGCTCTCAATGGGCCCTCTTTGCTGCCTCCTTGAAGCTGGCAGTCTCAGGCACCTGGCACGCGGCGTCGGCAGCGCGCGCTGCGCATGAGGAGGAGTCACTGAAGTCATTTGCTGCGAACTGGGGCCGGGCGCCTGCGTCTGTGCCAGGGCTGCAGGCACTGCCTCGGCTCGAACCGCAGCGCATCTGCAGTCAGTTTGCAACACGGCGGGGCCCGACCCGTGCATCGAGCGATGTCGACGTCGCGGCTCTCGCAGGCTTTTGCAGGCTTTTGCAGGCTTTCGCTTGGCTCCCGGCTGGCCACAGCAGCAGCTGCATCAAAGGGACCAGAACACCTGCATCTCGTCATGTCTCGTCACGTCTCCGCCCACAACTTGAGGGGAACCGTTCAAGAATGTGAAGGCGCCTGACAGCTGCTCCTCGCGCATGCGCTGCAAGAAAGCCGTGATGGAGCCTGCCAGGTTTGGGGATAATGGAGGTTGGCAACCATGATGAGCAGCCATGCCAAGGTCAGTGTGCCCCACCCCGCGTTAGCACGGAAGCGCACACAAAGGGCATGCTCTTTCCTTAATGCTTGCCCTGTCGCACAAGGCCCCGGCGGACTGCCAGCGCGGCGTCCAGCTCGTCGGGGGCTTCGCCCTTCGTGGTCAGCAGACGTCAGGAGACGCGCCGGCGCGGTGATGAAACTAAGTGCTGTCTTGGTCTGCGATCTGTCTTGCGGACTTGTGGATCCCTCGTCGCCTGGGCATTGGCCTTCGGCGATCCCGTGGGGGTCAGGATGATCGGGGACATCACGTCCTCTCGCTCCGTGCCGAGCATCCCTGAGCCCCGATCGCAAGTGATTCAGGCCGGTCCTTGTAGATGTGGAACAGCGAAGGGGCCGGGAGGACGGCGGGCGGCCTCTGGTCGCATCGCGCTGCGAAAGACATCTGCGAAAGGCATCTGCGAAAACCACCTGCCAAAGGCACCTGCCAAAGGCACCTGCGGATGTCCGGACCGAGGCCGCCGCTGGGATTCGTACTCCCAGTATGGCCAGACGCCCTGCATGCCCAGCATGCTCAGGTCGCATGATTGAATGTCCATTGTCTACCACATGACCCTCTACCGCAATTCAATGCACCAATGTGATCAAAACACACAAGTCACCAAGAGATTACCCGCCAGTTCTAGCAGCCCCGTGCACAGTACAAGTTGCAGGGACGCAGATCACCGAATGCATCCGAGGACGTCCGAGGACCGAACGGCCATGGGCTTGGTGAGCTTCACTGCCTCGTAGTGCCGTGCCTGGCGGCGGGCGTTGCCACCACAGCTGCTCAGCTCCGGCAACATCCGGCAAGCAACGCAATCGCACGCAGCTCTCGCCGCTCGTGGATGCTCACGCGCTGGCGGCGCCAGAACGAAGAGCTGTGGCAACAGCAAGCCGGCGACGACGGCGTCGGCGACAGCCTCCATGCAGGACACAGTTCAGACAATGGCATTGATAGCATCACTGCGACTTATAAAGCTTGGTGCCAGGATGAAGACCATGGCAGAAGAGTGTGAGACACGACACTGTGACAACACGCGGACAGTAGGGGGACGTGGGCGGAGCGGCGGCGCGCGCGAGACAAGCGCCTGCGTCACCCAAGGCAGCCCCAGGCCCAGCAGCTCCACCACGAAATCCAAGGCATCCTCGGCCCCAGGCAGCGACATCCAGTGCTCCCCCACGCGGCCCGCTTCCTCCTCCGTCCGGGCCTCCTCTCGCTCCGCAGCTGCACGGAACGCGGCCGCATCCTCCTCGCGGGCGGCCACCGCCGCCTCTGCCTCGGATGTACAAGAAAAGTGATGTACTCACAGCTTCCCCAGACCCGTCCCAGCAAAAAAGGCAGCCAACACAGCCAAGCTGCCCAAACAGACTGCAGCCTGTCGGCCACACGTGGGAGGACGAAATCGTAGAAGACCTGCACGAAAACGAGGCTGTCCTGGACTCAGGCGCCTGCGGTGTCTCGATGGGCCTCGGTGGCAGCAGCCTGCACCTGAGCTGGATGAAAGCACACCGACAGTCACCGATGTCACTTCGCAAGGGTCCCTTCCGGAAAGGCTCTCCCGTGCGTGAGTTGAGCTGAGCGGCGCGGAGGTTCTTAATCTTCAGCATGCCTCCGCTCGGCTCAAGCAAATTGTCAGCAGATGCCAGCGGCTTCCAACGTGAGAACCACGGAGATGAGCATGAGGGTGTGATGACAAGTATGAGGATGCGACATGGAGGACGCTGAGCACAAGCCACATGCTGCATGCTGCTGTGTGCTGACGCACGTTGCCACCAAGCTGCTCAAGCAGGTCACCCTGGCCCCCGTGCGGGCCAGGTTCTCCGAGTGGAAGATGAACCGGGCAGCCTGCGCGCTCTCAAATCCGGGATGCATGGAACTGCCCAGTCTCTCTCCCTTTGCACTGCTGCACCTCTCCCGGTCCGGCGGCCTCCATCATCACTGGCAAACACACCGAGTCCGAGTCAGCCGCTGCCTGCGCGGAGGCTGCGCTCAGAGTCTAGCCGTCCGCTCGGCGCACATACACCGGTGTACTGCATGATGAGATATATGGGATCCATTGAGCACGGGGCCGGCATGAGCAGCCACTCGGCCGTCCTCAGATTCAAAAGGTTGCGGCGTGTTGCAGCATTGCAGGCGAGGGGAGCACTGGCACGAACGTGGGCGGCGACTCAGGGGCTGGGAATGGCTGGGGAGAGCTCTACGTCCATAGGACGCCGTACTGCTAGGCCTCGGGCTCCGAAGTCACCCGCATCGCAAGGCGCTTCATCAAGTGCACATAGAGTGCCTGGGCGCGCTCTGGAACAGCTCTTCCTGACGCGGCACTCGCACAAGGGCCCGGGGCCTCCGAGTCGTCGGTCGGCAGCTCGGGCCTGGGCCAAGCGGGATGTCGAGGAGGGCCCTTCTGGAACGGGCACAATTTTCCGCTCTGGGCGCCGCGCTGGGCGCACAGGAGCCTGTTGTAGGCGCCCCCGTGGAGGATGCTCAGGAAAGCCTCCTCTTTGGCCTCGCAGACAGCGTCGCAGCGCAGGGCGCGCGAGCTTGGAGGAGCTGGGTATAGGAGAAGGGGAACACAAAAAAACGGGGCAGCGCCAAGTGCGAGCAAGGGGCGTTGACGAGCGTGATGGACCTGGGAACCAGCGCCCTTTCAGCCCCGCCGACCCAAGCCAGGATTTAAATGCTGCAGACTGACGGGCCATCTACATCCGTCAACACACGTCTCCCAATGCAAGCCCAAAGGACACCGTCTGCCACAGTTGCACCCTCACGCGCTCCAGCGTTTCGAACGCCAGGAGCCCGTTCACCAGCGTCTCCAATCCCTGCACGGCGAACGCATGCCCGCTGCTTTAGTTAATAGAACAATATGATGAGTGAGTACGCGAACGTAGTGCACGAACTGAACGAATGGTCTTTTGTTACCATTCTTATCTGTGAGGAGCACATACAATTTATTTCCATCTTACACTATAATCTTGCAACATCTTGCAACCAGGTGATGCAAAAGGAAGATACAGACGTAACCAACAGCGCTCTGTTGCACTCCCGCGCGCTTTTCCTACAATCGGCTTTCCCATGCGCGGAGCTCCCCTCCCCCGAGCCTCGTTCTCCACAAAGTAAGCGAAGAGGTCCCCGCCATTGTCCTCCGAGTGCCCCAGCCTCCGCTGCAGCTGCTGCGTATGGCTGCATGCAGAAACTTCCTGGCGCAGGCCGGCAACTGGCACCCCGCAAGTGGATGCCCCTTGCGGGCAAGCTGCGCGGCACCTATCTGGTGGATGTAGTCCACCAAAGCCTCAAATCAGCGCTTTCGCCTCCCGCATCTGTCAGAACACCTGCACTAGAAATCTGAGGGCGCCGCATCAGCCTGTGCATTGGTATGCGGGAGGGCGCAGGTAAGACCCGCCCTGGCACACTCCAACCTGGGCAGGCCCCAAGCCCAAGGAAGCCGCTGCGCTGCCCCGTCACTGCCGCTGCACGTCCGCGCGCGCTATCCGGGCCATCGGGAGCCCGGCACCGGGGCCAGCTCCGCTCGATTTAGCGGAAAGACCTGAGACAGCGCATCTGCAAAAGTTCTTTCCGGCCTTCTTGAGCATGCTGAGGCCCTCGCATTCTGGTTGGTCTTTGCCTCACACCGACATGCACAGGCACGCGATCACGACGTCAGCCGGCTCCCCCCTGCCCCCCCCCACCACCCCCGGCCGCCTCCCAGAACGACCAGGCCACCTCGAAACATCGTGAGCTGGGTAACGGGATGACAGAGAAGGCTCATAGCGACGCGCACAACGGAAAGAGAGAGAGAGAGAGAAAGAGAGAGAAAGAAACAAAATAAAATAAGGAAAGAGACTTTGTACTGGTGTGCTCCTACTCTGGTACTCGGCCGGGCTGCCGAAAGGAGCGATGCCATGGCTACCGCCACCGAAAACCAGCCGCGGCAGCTCGAGGAGCGCAGGTGAACGCTAGGCTGACTTATGATATCTGGCCCCTTGCAAGTGCTGCATGCCGTACTGCAGGGACTGCAGGGATAAGGCCCAACAAACACCTAGACATGCAGCCGGCTGAAGCGGCGGAACTTTCACTCAGGGAGCCAGCTGCTATCTAGGAGAACTCTGAGGGAAAAAACGCTGGCAGAAGCGAGCGAATGACAGCTTGCGATCTGCGCCCCTCAACGATCGTCTAACGCAGCATGACGCGCGCAGCAAACGGATGCAAACGGTTCTGCCGAGGCGGTGTTTCAGCATCCCGGCATGCGATCCAGCAAGAAAAGCAAGATGATCAGAGCGCGCTGCATTTACCTGAATGTGGTTTCTTGAGCGTGCTTGGCTTGGAAGTTTTCCTGCTGGCATGAGGATCTACACGAGGATTAGATATGATTAGATGAAGGATCCCACCAGCGCTGCTTCGCACCATTTCGCACCCATTGCCAGGAGAGGAGAGCCCCCATCCAAGTTCTGGAGGTTCTGGCACTTTCTGGCACCTCCAAGGTGCAGCCGGGGCGCCCTCTGGAAGGGGTTGGGCATGGAGTATCATGGAGTCCTGTCAATGGCCTTCATGCGCGATCAGCGCGTGAGGGGCATCCACATCAGAGATGCCTGTTTCCGCACCGCGCCAGGAATCCATGCATGCGCAGCAGCAGCAGTGGGACAATGGCGGAGGCCCTTTCGCCGCCTTCTTGAAGGCGAAGAGGTCTGCACCGTCATCTTCCGAAAGCCCCAGCCTCGGCTGCAGCTGCTCGGGGAAGGGCGACAAGCGCATTGGGAGCGCATAAGACCGCTGTTGCAGCGGACACGGCTGCGCGGTGCAGGGATTGGAGACGCTTGTCAACGGGCTCGTGGCGTTCGGAAACGCTGGAGCGGGTTAGGGTTCAAGTTGCACTCGAACAACCCGTTCCAGCGTTTCGAACGCCAGGAGCCCGTTGACGAGAGTCTCCAATCCCTGCGGCACTGCGCAACACGCTCGAGCGTTTCGACCTCGTGCCGCATCAAGGCGAAGTGGTCTCCGCCGACGGCGCTCGCTTCCCATCTTCTTCAGGACGTCGAAGGCTCCAGGTTTTGGAGTTTCCAAGGTGCTGGGCATGGAGTCGTCGTCCTGTCACTAGCCTGTCATAGCCTGTCCCTCTCTTTTTGCTGACCCGAGATTCGAACGACTCTTTGCGATTCCTTTCCACGAAGCAAACCTTGTGAGGCAGCCGTGGCCGTGTGGTCCATCGAGGTGAAGCTGACGTCTCATCGACTGACGGTCTCTCGAGCTCGAGCGCATGAGGAGATGTCAATTGCAAAGGGATGCAGTCGCACCTGGCCCTCGCAAACAAATGCATAATGCCTTCTGTTCATGGCCGTGCATGCCGAGCTGCCTGAGGATGCCTTACCGACTCCAAAGCCCGTTCCAACGGAGTCGGCAGCTTGCCGCACGACCCCACCCAGGAGTCCAGGCGCTGGGCGCGCAGGCTGCGCATGGCGGCTGGGCTTTTTGAGCTACTGGGGGGGTCCAGGAACTCTGTCGACTCAGTCGGGCTGGGTCTGCGAGCGAGGGCATGTAGCTGAGGGTGTGGGTGCCTGTGATGTGCCTGTGATGTGCCTGATGCGCTGGACATGTCAGCGAGCAGACCTTGATCAAGCGCAGAACGGCAGCGAAAAGCAGCTAAAACTGAAAACCGTTACTGTTAAAATCCCTGAAATCCTCTGAACATACGTCGCACGCCTGTCTCAGTAGACTCCGAGCAGGCCTCGATGCCTGGCAAATCCTCTTTTTGAGCGCGTGCCGCCGCCGCTCAAGCCAATGTCTCTCTCTGACGAAGTCTCCAGATTTGTGCCTGTTGCGCTTTAACAATCTTACGCTTGTGGCCAGCCAGCTGCCATCCAACACCTCTCCCGACGGGCGCCGGCCAAAGACTTTGCTGGGGCCAGAGTGGTCCGCAGAAGCAGGCGCCGTCGGTCGAGAAATCCAGTCTATGGGCAGCAGCTGAATGACTTAATATACCTTAATACTAATAATCCTTAATGTGACTGGTGGGCCCGTTGAAAAGGCCCCGTTGTACCTCTGAATGCCGCGGTCATCGACTTCACGGCAGGCAGCTGGCAGCTTGAAAAAAGGATCTCAACGTTCCGAAGAGCGAGCTCAGACTGCCACCTGGCGAGAACTAGACATGAGGTGCCGCCCAAGGCCACAAACGACAACAAATTGTAAATTGGTAGCTTCCGGGGTAGCTTCAAAACAGCTTCACACGTGCGGAATCAGAACTTCTGCTACGCTCGTCACTTCAGACGAGCAGATATAAGGCATGACGAAGACTCTCGAAGTTATCCGCGGGCAAGGTTGTTATAATATGTTTATGGTCTATGCATGTCTATGCGACAACGGCGCATGCTGTGCCGGCTGGGCCCCGGATCCCGGCTGGAAGCAACACCCTGAACGGGCTGGACGTGCCTTCGCTCAAGGTCGGCAGCTCGCTTGGCACCTCGAGATCCGCAGCCCTGCTGCCAGCACGGCTAGATCTACTCGTCCGACCATTCGTTGTTCAAAGTCCTCACCCCTCACCCTGCACCTCCCATTGCTTCACAACCAGCTTCTGCATTGTAACGTTTAGCCGAGTTTAGCCTTCATCTCCGCCCGCCTCCTCCACTTTCGGCGCTTTCCTCGGCGCGGCCTCTGGCACGCGGAGCATGCCGCCGCGTGCGCAAGGCAAGCACGCGAACATGCACGAAGAGGCCGTCAAAGCTGCACGGCGCGCGCGCGCGCGCGCGCGCGAGCCCCCGCCTCTGGCTGAGGCACGAGGCAGGCGTCTTCCAGCACGGCCGGGTAGAGAGATGCCTCGGCTCATATGCTCCGCCGGTGTGGCGCCCTTTCGACTGGCCGACTAAAACCATGACTATATCAGTACTGTCAGTACTATATCAGTACTATATCCATTTCGGAAAGCTCAGGGCCGGGCGCGGGACTCGAAGAAGAGCCAGGAGGCCACCCCGGCTGAGGGCCTGCTCGCGCGCGTGCTTGTGTCAGGAGACCGCCGCATGAAGTGAGGACGTGAGTCGAAAGACCGCAGGAAACTTCGAGCTCCGGGAGCTTTTATACATCTTCCAAGCCTTTCGTTTGCTTTGAACTTGGAGCCGTCATCTCCTAAGCAGATCCAAAAGCACACGAGCATCCGACAAGCATCCTGGAATCCTAGACGTGACTGCGCAACGCGGACACTCCGGCCAGGGCTCCCAGGGCTTGAATCGTGGAGATGTCCACCGAGTTCGCAGCCAGCATGGCCTCCCCGCAGTCTGGAGTCTCGGCGCGGCCCGCACTCGACAAACTCGAGATCCCGGCTTCCAGAGCTGGCAAGAAGGGGTTCAGCACCATGGCCTCAGGGCACCACGGGCACGCGATCCCACCCAGACGTGCGCAGCTGGGGAATCTGGGGACAGCGCCTGGCCCGGAAGGCGGACGCCGCGCGAGCCGCGCAGCGCCAGGCGCCAGCACTTCTGCCTCCAAGGGAAAGGGACCTTTCCTCTCGAGATCTCCTGGCCAGATATGCTACATCCTACCCAATCCAACGCCGGCTCCTCCGGCTGCGCGGCCCCCGTCCACTCCGGTCACTTCTTGGTTAATTACGCACGATGTTCCACCCTCCCCTTCCCCTCTCCCCCCCCCCCCCCCCCCCCCGCACCTTTCAAGGCTCGTCGCCTGCGAGGGGCAGAAGGTTGCAAAGGCTACTTTGGTTCCCCGCGACGCGCCAGGGAAAAAAGTGGTGGAAAGCCCCCCCAGCGCGCCTCTGATTTTCCCAGCGCCCAATCCTGCAGAGCCGGCAACTGCGCACGAACACCCCAGCCGTGAGGAGGCCCCAGTTGCCGCCCTCGAAGCTCGAAAGCTACTGCTCCAGTCCTCCATGCCAGTGCAGGCACTCAATTCCACGAAGCTGCGCCGAACCTCCAGGCTATACGCGCACTTGCAGGCTTTGCACTTCCACACCCTACTGTGTCCCCACCATGTCCTCTGACGCCCTCTACACAGCTCTGTATCATTCTGCATCATCTTGTCTGCGTTTTGCCTTTTGTATCCTTTTGTGTCCTTTTATGTCACTCACTAAACAACTCTGTGTTCTCAATGGGCCCTCTTTGCTGCCTCCTTGAAGCTGGCAGTCTCAGGCACCTGGCACTCGGACGCACTCGGACGCACTCGGACGCACTCGGACGCACTCGGACGCACTCGGACGCACTCGGATGCGCAGAAAAGCCATCGGACACGCGGCGTCGCCAGCGCGTGCTGCGCATGAGGAGGAGTCACTGAAGTCATTTGCTGCGAACTGGGGCCGGGCGCCTGCGTCTGTGCCAGGGCTGCGGGCACTGCCTCGGCTCGAACCGCAGCGCATCTGCAGTCAGTTTGCAACACGGCGGGGCCCGACCCGTGCATCGAGCGATGTCGACGTCGCGGCTCTCGCAGGCTTTTGCAGGCTTTCGCTTGGCTCCCGGCTGGCCACAGCAGCAGCTGCATCAAAGGGACCAGAACACCTGCATCTCGTCATGTCTCGTCACGTCTCCGCCCACAACTTGAGGGGAACCGTTCAAGAATGTGAAGGCGCCTGACAGCTGCTCCTCGCGCATGCGCTGCAAGAAAGCCGTGATAGAGCCTGCCAGGTTTGGGGATGTTCGGGGATACTGCAAGTTCGAGAGCAGCCATGCACACAAAGGGCTCTTCCTTTATGCTTGACTGTGGCACATCGCTGCTCCGAAGGCCCCGGCGGACTGCCAGCGCGGCGTCCAGCTCGTCGGGAGCTTCGCCCTTCGGCGTGGTCAGGAGACGTGTCACGCAACGTGCCAGTGCGGCGATGAAAATAATGCCGTCTTGGTCTTGCGGACTGTATTGCGAACTCGTGCATCCCTCGTCGCCTGGGCATTGGCCTTCGGCGATCCCGTGGGAGTCAGGATGATCGGAGACATCACGTCCTCTCGCTCCGTGCCGAGCATCCCTGAGCCCCGATCGAAAGTGCCTGAGGCCGGTCCTTGTAGATGTGGAACAGCGAAGGGGCCGGAAGGACAGCGGGCGGCCTCTGATCGTATCGCACTGCCAAAGACATCTGCGAAAGGCATCTGCGAATGTGGACGTCCGGACCGAGGCCGCCGCTGGGGTTCGTACTCCCAGTATGGCCAGACGCCCTGCATGCCCAGCATGCTCAGGTCGCATGACTGGATGTCTATTGTCTACCACATGACCCTCTACCTTGCCGCAGCTCCGCGCATCACCGCAATTCAATGCACCAATGTGATCAAAACACACAAGTCACCAAGAGATTACCCGCCAGTTCTAGCAGCCCCGTGCACAGTACAAGTTGCAGGGACGCTGATCACCGAATGCATCCGAGGACGTCCGAGGACCGAACGGCCATGGGCTTGGTGAGCTTCACTGCCTCGTAGTGCCGTGCCTGGCGGCAGGCGTTGCCACCACAGTTGCTCAGCTCCGGCAACATCCGGCAAGCAACGCAATCGCACGCAGCTCTCGCCGCTCGTGGATGCTCACGCGCTGGCGGCGCCAGAACGAAGAGCTGTGGCAACAGCAAGCCGGCGACGACGGCGTCGGCGACAGCCTCCATGCAGGACACAGTTCAGACAATGGCATTGATAGCATCACTGCGACTTATAGCTTGGTGCCAGGATGAAGACCATGGCAGAAGAGTGTGAGACACGACACACTGTGACAACGCGCGGACAGTAGGGGGACGTGGGCGGAGCGGCGGCGCGCGCGAGACAAGCGCCTGCGTCACCCAAGGCAGCCCCAGGCCCAGCAGCTCCACCACGAAATCCAAGGCATCCTCGGCCCCAGGCAGCGACATCCAGTGCTCCCCCACGCGGCCCGCTTCCTCCTCCGTCCGGGCCTCCTCTCGCTCCGCAGCTGCACGGAACGCGGCCGCATCCTCCTCGCGGGCGGCCACCGCCGCCTCTGCCTCGGATGTACAAGAAAAGTGATGTACTCACAGCTTCCCCAGACCCGTCCCAGCAAAAAAGGCAGCCAACACAGCCAAGCTGCCCAAACAGACTGCAGCCTGTCGGCCACACGTGGGAGGACGAAATCGTAGAAGACCTGCACGAAAACGAGGCTGTCCTGGACTCAGGCGCCTGCGGTGTCTCGATGGGCCTCGGTGGCAGCAGCCTGCACCTGAGCTGGATGAAACCGAAACAGGCTCGAAGGCTGAAAGCACACCGACGGTCACCGACGTCACTTCGCAAGGGTCCCTTCCGGAAAGGCCCTCCCGTGCGTGAGTTGAGCTGAGCGGCGCGGAGGTTCTTAATCTTCAGCATGCCTCCACTCAAGCAAATTGTCAGCAGATGCCAGCGGCTTCCAACGTGAGAACCACGGAGATGAGCATGAGGGTGTGATGACAAGTATGAGGATGCGACATGGAGGACGCTGAGCACAAGCCACAAGCTGCATGCTGCATGCTGCTGTGTGCTGACGCACGTTGCCACCAAGCTGCTCAAGCAGGTCACCCTGGCCCCCGTGCGGGCCAGGTTCTCCGAGTGGAAGATGAACCGGGCAGCCTGCGCGCTCTCAAATCCGGGATGCGTGAACTGCCCAGTCTCTCTCCCTTCGCACTGCTGCACCTCTCCCGGTCCGGCGGCCTCCATCATCACTGGCAAACACACCGAGTCCGAGTCAGCCGCTGCCTGCGCGGAGGCTGCGCTCAGAGTTTGACCGTCCGCTCGGCGCACATACACCGGTGTACTGCATGATGAGATATATGGGATCCATTGAGCACGGGGCCGGCATGAGCAGCCACTCGGCCGTCCTCAGATTCAAAACGTTGCAGCATGTTGCAGCATTGCAGGCGAGGGGAGCACTGGCACGAACGTGGGCGGCGACGGCTGGGAAATGGCTGGGGAGAGCTCTACGTCTTTAGGACGCCGTACTGCTAAGCCTCGGGCTCCGAAGTCACCCGCATCGCAAGGCGCTTCATCAAGTGCACATAGAGTGCCTGGGCGCGCTCTGGAACAGCTCTTCCTGACGCCGCGCTCGCACAAGGGCCCGGGGCCTCCGAGTCGTCGGTCGGCAGCTCGGGCCTGGGCCAAGGGGGATGTCGAGGGCCCTTCTGGGATGGGTGGTCCGCTCTGGGCGCCGCGCTGGGCGCACAGGAGCCTGTTGTAGGCGCCCCCGTGGAGGATGCTCAGGAAAGCCTCCTCTTTGGCCTCGCAGACAGCTTTGCGAGCTTGGAGGAGCTGGGTATAAGAAAGGAGAACAAAAAAGCCAGCGCCAAATGTGAGCAAGGGGCGTTGACGAGCGTGATGGACCTGGGAACCAGCGCGCCCTTTCAGCCCCGCCGACCCAAGCCAGGATTTAAATGCTGCAGACTGACGGGCCATCTACATCTGTCAACACACGTCTCTCAATGCAAGCCCAAAGGACACCGTCTGCCACAGTTGCACCCTCACGCGCTCCAGCGTTTCGAACGCCAGGAGCCCGTTAACCAGCGTCTCCAATCCCTGCACGGCGAACGCATGTCCGCTGCTTTAGTTATAATAGAACAATATGATGAGTGAGTACGCGAACGTAGTGCACGAACTGAACGAATGGTCTTTTGTTACCATTCTTCTCTGTGAGGAGCACATACAATTCATTTCCATCTTACACTATAATCTTGCAACATCTTGCAACCAGGTGATGCAAAAGGAAGATTCAGACGTAACCAACAGCGCTCTGTTGCACTCCCGCGTGCTTTTCCTACAATCGGCTTTCCCATGCGCGGAGCTCCCCTCCCCCGAGCCTCGTTCTCCACAAAGTAAGCGAAGAGGTCCCCGCCATTGTCCTCCGAGTGCCCCAGCCTCCGCTGCAGCTGCTGCGTATGGCTGCATGCAGAAACTTCCTGGCGCAGGCCGGCAACTGGCACCCCGCAAGTGGATGCCCCTTGCGGGCAAGCTGCGCGGCACCTATCTGGTGGATGTAGTCCACCAAAGCCTCAAATCAGCGCTTTCGCCTCCCGCATCTGTCAGAACACCTGCACTAGAAATCTGAGGGCGCCGCATCAGCCTGTGCATTGGTATGTGGGAGGGCGCAGGTAAGACCCGCTCTGGCACACTCCAACCTGGGCAGGCCCCAAGCCCAAGGAAGCCGCTGCGCTGCCCCGTCACTGCCGCTGCACGTCCCGCTATCCGGGCCATCGGGAGCCCGGCACCGGGGCCAGCTCCGCTCGATTTAGCGGAAAGACCTGAGACAGCGCATCTGCAAAAGTTCTTTCCGGCCTTCTTGAGCATGCTGAGGCCCTCGCATTCTGGTTGGTCTTTGCCTCACACCGACATGCACAGGCACGCGATCACGACGTCAGCCGGCTCCCCCCTGCCCCCCCCCACCACCCCCGGCCGCCTCCCAGAACGACCAGGCCACCTCGAAACATCGTGAGCTGGGTAACGGGATGACAGAGAAGGCTCATAGCGACGCGCACAACAGAGAGAGAGAGAGAGAGAAAGAGAGAAAGAGAGAAAGAGAGAAAGAGAGAAAGACAAAAAAAAAGGAAAGAGACTTTATACTGGTGTGCTCCTACTCTGGTACTCGGCCGGGCTGCCGAAAGGAGCGATGCCATGGCTACCGCCACCGAAAACCAGCCGCGGCAGCTCGAGGAGCGCAGGTGAACGCTAGGCTGACTTATGATATCTGGCCCCTTGCAAGTGTTGCCGTACTGCAGGGACTGCAGGGATAAGGCCCACAAACACCTAGACATGCAGCCGGGGCTGGAATGAACCCTGCACGGGACCCCTCATGATCTTCCTGAAGCCGAACTTTCACTCAGGGAGCCAGCTGCTATCTAGGAGGACACTTGAGACAAATGCTGTGGAAAGGAATGGTCATGCAACACCCGCAGCGGAGGAGTCCAGGCGCAACCTTGTGGAAATCTTCTTGTGGAGATTCAGAGGAGCATGGGAGCATGGGCAACAGTGTCAACTTGCCGAAGTTTCAGAGACAGCGAGCGTCACAGCGGTTTGCTGTCTCGGCCCTAAGGTGCTTCCTTGCCAGCAGGCGTCCAGTGCGCCATGAAGCTAGGAAAGGTCCTGCGCCGCATCTTTCAGATGCTCAGCCCATGGTCTCACTGACCCTTCTTCTCGGTTTTCTCCACAGCCTGGAGGCAGATCGCCAACGGGGACTGAAGGTGGTAAACAGGGTGGAAGGCCCCAGAACTGACACCTCCAACTGCGAGGTCTCGTGCAGCACAAAGGCAACCTGACATCGCATCCATCGGCATATATCAACACTAATAACACTAGAAGGGCCGTTGGGATGTAACCCGAGCCCCCTTTCAAGCCGGACCGTGATTCCTTGAATTCACGGCAGCGTTCCGAAGTTCCACCGTTGGTTGTACCGGGTGTCGAGCCGATGAAACCAGTCCAATCACCAAGAGGAAGAAGCCTGAGACTCGCGCAGCTATTATGGCTGCCAGGAGCAGGGCTCTAACGCTGCCACGCATCCTTGCACACGTGATTAGGATGGGAACGGGGCTTTGCAGCCGAGCCACCGCCATAGATCACGGCTAGGTGCGTCCGGCCAGCAACGACCTGTTCCGGAGACAGTCAACACCTGGAACCTTGCACAACCCTGGAAACACCCTGGCGACACCTCCTGATAGATCAGGATGCTGCTGACGAGCAGCAGTGTGCAGGCGCATACACCAAGAACCTGAGGCGCTCGAAGTCTCTAAGCCTGCGAAGATGCTAACATGATTTGACATGGCCACAAGCGCCTTGGTCAGTGTAGATCGATCCAAACTGATCAGTTCCTCAGAGATACAGCTGTAGGAGAAGCAGTTTCTGGTAGCTATGCACAATCTCGCCAGGCTTCATCCAAGAGCTCAAATACACTCGGCTGGCGATCCTGGCAGACTCCTTCCTATGAGTCCGAGCTGTGCAAGTTGGTTCGACCAATGAAAGGAGTTCCTTGCAGTGCAGGCCTGCTTGCAGCAATCCTCCTCTGAGACAGCTGCCTTGCATGATTTGGAGCTGTGGTACAACAGCAGGTCCAAGCACGTTCAGCGTGATCACGGCACTACCCAAAGGAGTCCTGTTCAGTTGTGACTGTCGCCATCACGGATGCGCGCCCAAAGGCATTCAAAACTTTCAGGGAAGTAGGCTATCCTAATTCTAACAGCAGTCGACGACAATGCCTAGCAATGATCGCGGAACTCTTCACGCTGCTTGCTACAGTACTCCAATTTGACTGCGGATGACTGCAGTAAGCCACATGTTGCCACGTTGCAGCACCGACTGTGAGCCGATGGCTGCAGCACTTGGACATGTCACCACAGGCACCCGGCCAAAAACTCTTGAGGACTCATTGGCGGCTTTTGCAAGCGTTCTCACCTCTCGTCGTGATCCCGCAACGTGCTGTCCGGAGCAGTCTCAGCTGCACTGAGGGCCTCCACGCGCTCCGCGCCTTCTCCGGGAAATGCTGGGGGCATCCGGGGTGGAGGCAGCCACGACTGAGTCTGTGTAGACTCACACTGCCAGTCCAAATACACATGACGAATCCAGCCTTCTGCAACTGCAGTGATGCCTTCTCCCCGGTACCGCGCCGCCCGCACAGCGCGTACACGGAAGAACTCTCCGGTGGCATCTTGCTCCAGCACATCAAGCTTCTGTCCATCTGCAGCAGAGAAGTCAGAGAAATTTCGAGTCGCGCGCGACAAGGTCGGTATTCGGCGGAGGGCTACTTTGCCGGTACCGCCCTGAGCTCGGCAAACTGCAGCGCCAAGCTGGGGCTTTGGCCGGGCCTCTCCGAGCATCAACCTCGCACCACACACCTCACAGGTGTTCATGCGGGCTTGGGCCTCGTCGAAGCTGTGCTGCTCTAAGAACTGCTCTTGCGCCCTCTGCCACTGCAGCAAGCATCCGTGGTGGACGGGCGCTCGGCAGTTGCAGGGAAAACACAGCTGGGCTTCCAAACCTTCTGCTTCATCTCTCAGCGTAGCTAGGCAAAGCCGACACTCGAGCTCGACCGGTTCGACTGGTGGCGACGCGGCTGCTTCCATTGCTGCCTACGTAAGCTTCCGGTAGTTGTTGCTGATGTGGTTTCAGTTGTCTCCAGTCTCCAGTTCCTGCACTCTGCATCACTCAAATTGGGCTGACGCTTCCCTCTGCGCAGCCCAGCCTGGCCTAGCCTTCCCTTTTGCAAGCCAAGAGATGGAGGAAGTACACACCGTGAGCGGAGGCGAACAAGTGACTTGTCAGCAGAACCGGATCTTTTCATCACTGCCTTGCTCCGACGGCATTCGGCTGTCCACGTCCTCGTCCTGCTCAGATATGGCGACACAAGGGCATGCAACTGGCTTTCGTACCACAACTTGATTCCTACTTCTGCACACTCCGCCAGCTCAGTCTGGCCCAGGCCCCAGCCTCGTCCTTTATTGGCGCGCACCTCGTCTCAGACTCAGCTCGGGTACCGTCTGAGCACAAGTGCAGCGCGGTGCTTAACTTGGCCCTGGGCAGGATTGGCTGAGCTTGAGCCTATGGGCACGCCTCGCAAAACCAAGAACTGATGTGGGAGCTCAGGCGTTCTCACAACATGGTTTTCAGGCACATAGAACTAGCCGGAATGCACCGCAGAGGAACCCATTTATCTTTATGAGCCCTCTTGCTCAGTGAGGTGGCAGTCTACCGTAACCAATTGACCAGCAGAAGCGGCACGTCCTGCATGCCCGCCGCTTGCCCACTGCAAACATAGTAAGGAGCTTAAAAACAAGTTTCAGAAGGCGAGGTTTCATTGGGCGGACTGCGGACCCTGGCCTTCACCAGCTCCAGCCCAGACTCGCCCAGTTCCTTGGAGCCAAAGGCCGAGGCAGTCTTCGAGCCAGGACTTCTCGACACATCAGACGCTGAGCAGCTGGCTTACCTGGACCTCCTGAGCATGGCGGGCTTATCGGGCTTCGTAGCAACTACAGCTGTGCCATCTGCGCAGTACCCCTGTTACGACATCATAAGACATCGTCAGGAGGCACCCGGATGCTAAGCTGCCACGGATGGGAGGCTACGGGCGGCAAGGCGGTTCTACACTGATGCCAAGCTTGCCAAGGTGCGGGAGGCACGGCGGTGTCTCCCTTGGATCTGGCCGCGCCTTTCCTCAAGCACTTCCGGTGTCTTGGTATCACTGTATAACACTGTGTCTAAAAGCCATTTCGCTGCTTTCCATTGGCTGGGCACACGGCTGCCGGCTGCCTGGAGACTTTGACCGTCCTTTCGCACCTGCGTTTGCAGCTCCGAAGACATTTAAAAAAAAAAAAACACAAAAAAAAGGATAACAAAAAACATCCGTGTTGAACTCTTTGCCGAAGACACCTCTCGTGGCGCTGGACTGCGACTGTGACCTTGCACCAAGCTGCCACCTCTTGGCAACTCATACCTATACTTCTACACGCACGGAGAATTCTCGGCTACTGCTTATAGCCTTCACCACCTGGCGACCACGCACATGTAAAGGAACCATCCGTACTACTTGTTTGCTGCTGGTGCGGGTATTGCTCTCCCTGTGCTCCACAACTCTAATCAGTCCAGTGAACACAGCTCCACAGCTGTACGCACACTTTCTTACTCCAACTCAGCTCTCAAACTGGCTTACGGTATGTCAACCCAGGACCGCCGAAGAAACAAAAAGGAAGTGGAAATAGTGGAAGCTACTCGTCTCAGGGCCGGGCCCGCTATGTGGGGCAGCAACTGCCCGGCGTGACAGGCGCCTGACTCACACTGTAATTGGGGGGGGGGGGTCTTCTTCAAGCTCAAGAGTTCAAGCTCCACTGGACCCATTTAAACTCCTCTGGGACCCCGCGCACCGGCAGAAACTCAAGAATCTTTAACAGCTCTACAACCCACCCACCCGTGATACCAGGAACCCCACATCATGATACAGTGGGAGGCCATACTCACGTTGCCCGTTAGCCATAATGAGTCGACAATTGTAACTATGGCAATCGGCGGGCCAAATGCCCGCAACTTCGCTTCAGGTAGCCTTACAAGTACAGTTCAACTGGGAGAATTGTTCACAGCCTTGGGCATGAGATTGCCAAATGTTAAACAAAGCCTGTGTGAGACTAATTAATCTAGGCCAGACAAGTTCGTCCTGCTACAACGGATATTCAGGAGCTGGCACCAGAGGCCCGTAAACTTAAAAGCCTCGGATTCCCCACCGCAACCCGAACCGGGTCTCCTCCGAACCGCCCACGGATTTTTCGGACCGATTTCTTGTTCGGGGTCAGGAGGTCTTCATGACGCCCACAGTCAACTGCCCGGGCCCCTGAAAACCAGCAGAGCTCTGCACCTCTCACCTTTGCTGAGTCTCCGACCCCTTGGCATCGGCGATGCGCTGGTCAAGATCCTTCTCGACCTGGACTCATCGTAGATGGCTCAGAAGAAAAAAGGCTATTATCCGCCGAGCCATAGGGGTTTGGGTAGCGACAAGCAGGTACGATGCATCAGGATCAACCCCCCACCCAACCCTGTCCACCTGCCCACCCGCCAACCACCCCAACCTGTGGGATTGGGGTGCCTGGTCTATACATGCACGAAGCAATCTCCGGTTTTGGGCTGCCTCGCCGCTGGGCAGGCCCCGGCCAGGCGGGTCGCGAAGTGTGAAAAAAAATTGTTCAGGGCGTTTGGTTCATTGTTAGAGCGCTGTGCCTGCTCCATCTCCTGGAAGACAGAGTGGTAGCTCATGTGAGCCTACGTCTTCCGGCTGCACGAGACTGCGCATCAGCAACAGCATCGCGCGGGGCCTCCATGCACATGGCGGCAGCCTCCACGCTTTCTCGGAGACCTCCCGAAACCGCAGACCGCAGCAAACGGGGGTGTCGGACAGGCAACCTCTCAATCTACACACAGAAAACGCTCGCACGATGTAGATCTTTTGCGACAGCAGTCCATTTCCTCCAGAATTAGCCTGCAGTCCCCCAAAACGCAGTCCCGGCCGTAGCCCTCCGCCACTACGTAGTCCGGCTGGAGTCAGAGTCTTAATGGTGACCAGAACACTACTCACTACGCAATTGCAGCAAACGAGGCCACACGATCTCCACTTGCCTGGCTTGGCAACAGGGCAGCGGCAGTTGCCAACTTTTCCCGTTCTGGTTTTTCCTGCTGATCACTCAGTCACTTCTCACTCCAGGCAGGTCTGCTACCTCGCAGCTGCACTTCAGCCACGCGCCTGAGCAAGGCATGAGTGGCACGACTTTGTCCAAGGATGCCACCACTGGCATCGCTGCCATAGCTCCACATGATGTTAAAAGGGAGAGGCCTCAACCTTCGTTGTACGTCTTAATCGTCTTACAGCCAACGCCAACTGCGCGAGCAATTCCAAACCAAGACCGACCGAGTCTCGTCGCCCCAGGCGTCAGCTGTACCGTTTAAGAACACGCGAGCGCCTGTCCAACTGAGGCGTTCGCCTGCACAGCGGCCGTAGCGGTCGAATCCAAGTTGGTCAGCTCCCATGCCCTGCGACCAGTGAGCCGTGGCTGTCGCAGCGGCCCTAACCCAGCCGCACAAGCGAACACCGTCCGTTGCCGCTCCCATAGCTTTTCTCTTACGGTTTGTTGCGGCTTTTTGCCGGTTGCTAGAGCCTTGCCGGTTCGCCCGGCGACGCCTGTTTTTGGCTCCCGGCCCATCATGCAGCCAACTCCGGCAAAAAGACACAAAAACAACCCCGGCAGTGACATCTGCTACAGGGATGCACATGATGCAATTCCGCCTTTGATCTCCAAGGAGCATCGTGATGACACGCTGCTGAGACCTAGACAAGGGATCAATGGGGTCAAGACCTAAAGCCGTGCCTTCCAAATTGCTGCGAAGTGTCGCGCAAGTGCACGTGTGCTCTGTCTAATTTTTTCAAGTAGTAAGTTGTCAAAGTTTCGTGCGCTCGCTGCTACTGCACCTGCACGCGCACACGCGGATAGCGTAATGAATATCTGCCGATATTCGGGCGCACTTTCTGGACAACACGCGCTACTCAGGCACTTCTGAGCAGGCATTTCGACATTTCGTGCTTTTGTTGCCGACTCTCTAAACAACCGCAAACAGACTGCACTCGGCCCGCAGCCGCTCTGGTCTTCGCGTCCATCTTGGAGCTCCTTGTCCATGTCTTTCATGCTCAACCTGAGAGTCTGAGAGGTCTGCGTCTTGACCATCAACCAACCGCCCAGCGAGTTGAACTGGACTGAACCCCTCCGCCCTCCGCCCTCCACCCTCCGCCCTCCGCCCTCGACTTCGTTGGTGGAAAACCTGTGCTGAGCTGCAAGCACGGCCACCCCGGTCATCTCGCGGACCAGCTTCAAATGTCTACCGGCCCTGGGATTTCGAGGGGCTAGAGGAGACTCTAGGTGGCCGAAAACAGGCTTTTGTATAGGACCCTGTCATCAGAATCTTCAAAGGATCTTAAGGGGCCGTATAGAGCCCTCTGGCACTTCGAAGATCTGTCTGAAGCCCCGGCTTGCCACAGACCCATCCTGCGATTTCTTTCGGCACCTGGCGGGTTGACGGTAGCTTTTCGCGGGTTTTTTGGGGTAGCTTGAAGATGCTTTGAAGCTGGTTGTCTACTGGAGCTAACGAGCGGGGTGCATGGCTACCCCTGATCTGCCCATGTACCATGATGTATCCTATGCTCCCCACTCCCGCAGCACCAGTGAGTGGCCTCCAGGGTCCTCATGTCGAAGTCCAGAGCCCTCAAGGCCCAGGGCTTGCATCCTCTAACGATCCCCCCAACAAAAACTACTTTTGCGTGGTGGGTTCAAGAGTTTTTTTTCAACCCCGGCTGAGGTTCTGAGGTAACCCGATCCCAATCATCGGGCGAACAGCTCAGCTCGCAGTAAGTGGCATGCTGCGTAGGTGCCAGGCTTGACGGCCGCCGCCACCTCTGCCGGCGAGGCACCCGAGATGAGGAGGATGTTGTCGGAGCCTGATGTGTTAACCGCTAACATCTGCTAACCTGTTCTTCCTCTCACGGCTGCAAGCCGCCACTGAGTGTCTTTGCTGGTGTCGTCCTTTTCGATGTGGACAGTAACCTCAAAGCTTCTTTTACTGGTGTCGCAGTCGCATACATTTGCCTGTGAAGATGCCGAGCACCCTGCCTTGAAGTCCTTCTCCACAGACTTCAGATGCTCGCCCTTCTTGCCAATCACCAGCCCCATGCCTCGGCCCAAGGAATCGGCTGAATAGCACAGGCTTCCCCTACACGAAATCTGATCAGCTTTCGAACTCTTGTGACACGGAGCCATCAAGTGTTCAGGCGGGTCGCATATCATTTCATTTGGGCTCTGGCAGCCTGCTGGGACCTGGAGGCGTCGCTCGTTCTGGTCGAGCACGAGATCTGGCGATTGCATCAGCGGAGCCGCGCTGCGAAAGTGCTTCCGGGCTTCCGCGGCTGCACGCACCAACGCAGAGCTCGCTAAACCACGACCATATTAAGCCGGCCGACCGAAGGGGGGTGGCTCCACGCCACTCGTCACATCTCAGCGTGGACGGAGGATGAAGCAGCATGCATGAAATACGAATGAAGCATGCGCACGTCACTGGCATAGGCTTTCGATGCCCGATTCCTCCGAGGGTTCGAGCACCGAGGTGCTGAGATCTCCCGAGGTTTGAGCTGGAGAGGAAGGCCTGCGTCTGCTGCGCCTTGACCTCCCGCCTTCACAGAATGCGGAGGGGCATTTCACTCCTCAGAAGCCTATATTACACCCTAAATATCCCACATACATATGTACATACATACATACATACATACATACATACATACATACATACATGCATGCACACATACATACATCCTGAGGATGCGCTGGGCCCCCGACTCCTGCTTGCGGCGTTGATGGGCTGTGCGCCGGGACTCCTTCTCGTGCCAGATGAAAGCACCTAAGGCTTTAAGGGCTCAAGAGAGGCACAAGGCTTCGAACACACCATAAAACAACACTGCAGGTCTCAGTCAGCAGCTCATCTGTGCCAGGAATCGCGCAGTCACGCTTCGTCAGCCCATGAGCAGGAAACATGAACTGTTGTCAAGACTTAGGAAGTCGCTGGCTGCACGATGACTTGGCACAATGTGCAGCATCTTGCTGTGGCAGCAGAAGTCTCACTCTTCGGGCGCGAAGTCTTCGCGGATACAGAATGTCAGGCCCTGGGCCTATATTCCATCACATTCTCAGTGCTTTGGGAGGGTGGTCAAGCTGGTCAGGAGCACTGCTAGCTGCGAACCACAATCAGCAACATTAGTTCAAGGAGGCACTGCAAGTCTGCGCTTAATATCCGTGAGAAAACGGAAAGGGCTTCCTCTGGTTCTGGGCAGCTTTGGGCTTACAGTGGCTTGCAGCTCTTCCGAACAGCTCCGGCTCCTGTGACTCTGGTCTTTTTTGTGGATGCAGTTCTTCTGCAACCAGCGCGTAGTCGGCTCATGCTTGCCTCTGCAGATGCTGTCAGCAGGCACGTGCTGGGGAAACTAGCCTGAATGGCCAACGGCTGCACCACATCAAACTTGACATGTCACGTAATTATGGCAGAGCGTGAGGTGCATCCGTCGAAAAAGGACTTTGCCGTCCATGCAGACTAGTAGAACTTCGCTAACATCGGAGTCAGTCCGATCTGGGATGTTTTGCACAGGGCACCCGCTTTGGAGTACGCATCTATGTCATCTTATCTCAGGCCTCTCTCACTCTAGGCCAAGTTGTTGATGAGGCGCTTTGCCTGACAGGTTTCCCGGACCGGCCCTTCACTGGCCTCAAACACCCCGGCCTGACGCTGGACCATCGGGAGCGGGGAGTCCATGAGCTGCATCAGCTTGCGTCCACAAACGTTGAAGATCTTGGCCTCAGGGACGACGACATGAGTCTTCGCAAGCCCCAGTGAGTATCCCATCACTTTGAGAAGCGTGCCCTCTGCGAAGACAGTGTCGCCAGACTGCCCAGTGCCCGCAAGCCTGCTGAGCAAGAACGCCCCTTTGAGGAGGGCATTGCCGCATTCCGGCATGCCGATATACGCTAACATACCTTCGAGGCTTGCGAGTCTCCGGCATTCTGCGGCAGTGTCCGGGACGTCCAGCCGCTGCGCCAGGACGGTCGCAGCATCCATGGTGGCCAGGCACCGGGCCTTGACCCAACAGGGTCTAGGGGTTTAGGATTTAGGGTTGAGGGTGTAGATTAAGGCCTCCTCCTTTTGAGACAGTGACTTCTTTGCAACACGCCATCAATCCGAGGACCCCAAAAAGAAGAGCAACCCTCACATGCCTTCCGACCCAGACGCTCGCAACTTGCACCCCCCGATTCCTCGCTGCAAGCGGTGAGGATCGGACAATCTTATCAGGATGCTGCTCGGTGTTGGTGGCAAGAACCATACCCTTCACCTGAACAAGGAGGGCGGAAGGACAACAAAAAAAAGCTCCCTAAACCCTAAACCCTAAACCCTAAAACGACTCCCCAAGGAAACTTTGGCCTGGTCGTCCGGCAGGCTGCGTGCGTAGATGCGGAAGTCGGCCATCAAGCCAAAGGGCTTTCGTCCTTTCAGGTTTTAGAGTTTGGGGTTTAGGGTTTTTAGGGTTTAGGGTTTAGGGTTTAGGGTTTAGCGTTTAGGGTTTAGGGTTTAGGGTTTAGGGTTTAGGGTTTAGGGTTTAGGGTTTCAGCGACGCACTTCTCACCTCCGGCTGCCGAGTCATTGCCGACCATATAGAAGTCGTTCAGGATCTCAGAAAGGATGGACTCTACTTATATGCAACCGGGGTTCGAGGAATGGACATGCATACACTGGGTTGCACACCCACACCTCGGATGATGTGAAAAGCTGCGGACAAGCAAGCTGGCACTGGCTTGCGTTGGATGTGCTCTCTCAGATAAAAATTGTGCTGCCCAGACGCGTTCTTCAGCACTTTGCACCAGTCGTCCAGGAAGAGCTTGGTTCCATCGATCGGCTGCGAAGGACTGCGGCTTGTGGAAGACACCAAGGCAAGCCTGTACATGTAGCAACGTGGCATGCAAACGCACACGTAGATGGGAGCTTGCGCTTGAAGTCAAGAACTGTGCACGCGGCAGATGCCAGCCAGGATGGAGCTGAGGTGTCTTGATTGGGCGCTTGGTCCTCGCAGAGGGCCACACTGAAGCCACTGGCCATATGGGTGTTTACGAGATTCGGCGGTACCGTATTGGGTCCTATTCTAAGGGAATCCGACTATTTGGGGAGCTGTACTAGAAGTCCCTTTTTTTCGAAAACCCCCATAGAATGCCGGCTCCATGCAGCTCCTGGTGTGGTCGACCAGCGTCCAAACGCCTTCCGGCTCCGTCTCAAAATCCACGTAGAGCTGCATCAGCCTTTCCGGCCTTCAGCATCTACACCGGGGGGGAACACATGCAGCGTCACATGCCCCTGGGCCCTGTCTTTGCTTCCACAACTCGTCCACACAAAGCATACTGCAAGAAGGTAGGTCATGGTGTGTGAGACCGTCAGGCATTTTTGTTCACACTTTTTCCTAACCTAGTCGCGGGTCTGAGTTGGACCTGACGTTGGTGTTTCCTTGATCGTCGCAGCTTTCTCAAACAAATCTGTACTTAATCCCCACAGACACATGGCTTTACTGTTTTACAGTTCATCCCACGCTGACAAGAACCAGCGCTGTGGGTGCCAGAGAGCGCAAGGTATTAAAATGAAGTAATGTTCGCACTACGACTACCATTCTTCTTTTACATGTGACAAGCAACTTTCTGGTTCAAGGGTGTTGGGGTCTCTCATTCAGTCTTCCTTTTTGCTGACTCACGTCACACGTGGCAGATTGCCCAACTGAAAACTCAGGCATGGACGGCGAGCTCTGCAACAGGACACATTGTCGTCGTGCCTGACATGAAATCATGTCCTTTTTCTATCGCGACATCCAACGCAGCCGTCGCAAGACGCAAGTAGCAGAAAGAGAGGGAGGCAGTCGAGCTGCGTTCTCTGGAGTATCGAACTGGTTGAGAGGCCAGAAGAACCTGATGTCGAAACCGCTTGATGGGCAACCGCAGTGGCAGTCATCTGCTGCGAAGACTACAGCATCAGGCCCAAACCAGCAGGTGATTGTGAAGTGTCTGGGGTCTGGCGGTTCGTCCAGCCAATGATACGGACCTGGACGTATACTTCAAGCGATCTTGTGCAGTTTCCGAACCATGAACTCAGGGTTTACATGATGGTTCATAGTTACTTCATGGCTCATCATGGTACCCCCGAGGCCCCGGCTCTGCGATGTTTGTCTGAAGGTGTCCTGTGGAGATGCCTGACAGCATCTGGGCATGAGCCTGCACAGTCCAAGCGCAATGGTCGAAAGGCCGGGACCGTAGTAAGGACGCCAGGCACGTTGTAGGTCTTCAAGCCATCCGGGTGCAAAGTCAAACCTGAAAGCGAGCATAGAAACAGCATGGAACAGCCGAATTGCGAATCACGCCGCAAGGGGCCTCTACCGCAAAATGGGCAAGATCATAACGTCCAAGGAGCTTTGTTACATACGGATGAGGCTGTAGTAAGTTTCGTGAGAAAAGCTCATTTAGGCATTTGTTGTTTTCTGCTGGTGTTTTTGCTTATTTGCAGGGCTTTGAAGGAACAACTACTGATGGTGCGATATTCAAGCAAGCTTTGCACGGCTTAACAAGGGCGGGGGTTGGGTGTTGCGCACCCCCTCCCCTTTTGCAAACACAATGCTCGCACGAGGGGTTCGGAAAGGATTCATGTGCGGAAAACAAGCTTTGCACAGCTTAACAGGGATGGAGGGGGTGGGGGGCTCGCACGATGGGTTCGGAAAGGGTTCATGTGCTTAAAGCAAGCCTTCTACGTCTTAACAGAGTGGGGGGGGAGCATTTGCCACCACAATGCTCACATGATGGTTCTGGAAAGCATTCACGCAGTCATGTGGTTTTGAAGGAATGTGTGCTGATGGTTGTTTTTTCAATGCAGTTGGTGTGCGTGTATGTATATTTCTATCGACCTATCTATCTATCTATCTACCTATCTATCTATCTATCTATGTGTGTACATGTACATGTACATGTATATGTATGTGTCTCTGTGTGTATATATATTGTCCATTGTTATTCATATTCAGCTGGTTTAAATCTACATATCTCTTCATGTTTCCAACTGATTGCCATTTACATGTATTAGCTACATTCTGCTGCTTTTTATAGCGTCTTATCTATAGCACATATTGCAGATATATCTATATATAGACTTGTCATCTACTATGTACTTTTGGAATGTACATAATACTGAAAGAATAACTATATATGTATATACACACGTATCATACATACTATGTGTTAGACATCATGCCTCTATTCCAAAACAGCGAGACCGGAAACAAAAACACAAAAGAACAGAAACAAGAGACAAGCTATTAGAAAACACACATAAAACAAAACAAAAAAAAAAAACACAGACCATGGCAACACCAAAAGAAAACCAAGCATAGATCGGAAACGAAGGCCACAAGCAAAAACAAAAACAAAAACAACAAGCAACAACATACAAGCGAGAAGCTGAAGGGGTTGAAGGGCAGCAAGAGGCATGCGTCAGCGAAGAGCAAAACAAACCCACCCACCCCACACCCACCCCCCACGCCCTACCTCCCACCCCCCCCCCCCCAACCTCCCTCCCACCACCTCCCCACCCACCCATTTCACAACCGAGAACCCCCATTTTACAACCCGCAAGCCTATCCAGAACGCCAATTCTGCAACCAGATGCAGAAGCCTCGTACCAAGCCTCTTAACTTTCAACTTCAACACCGGAAACCCCTAGCATCATCCTCTCAAGCAACCATGCAGGTTTGAAAATGAAGTTCTTATTCCAATTTCAGCGGAATGATGGCCACTGTCTTGGAACTAGCAGCAAAGGCGAATACAACAGCGGAGAACAGTCTCAGAAAAATCGTGTAAACAAATGTGGGCTCGTACACGAACAGCTACAAACACCCAAGCATAGTATAGCATAGTTTAGTTTAGCGTAGTGTAGTTTTACGTCCTGAGGGTTGTAAGATAAGGGTTTTGGGGTAAAGGGGTTTAAGGTTTTAGAGGCAGGGTATTGGTAGAGGGCTGATTATACAAACAAAGCCCTGAGAAGGCCTTCAACACGCGCCTCGTGAGCCTCAGGATTCCGTTAAACAGTTCTCTCGTTGGGGTTACATGGGTTAGGTGCTTCTTTCAAGGTTTCCTTACTTAAGGAGTGTTGGGGGTATTATATACTACTATACTATACTAGATAGATTCTCTAGTCCCCGTCCCCCACCCCTCACTCCCCGGAGTCTCAAGGCTTGTAGCATACCGAATCTCAGTGCACGACAGTGTTCTTGTGTACCGAAACACACCTAATAACGGTTCCTATGGTGCGTGAAGCCTAAACCCTGAACTCAAACCCTTAGTAGTAATTATACTGCATACTGTGGAATATAAATGTATCTATACATATATATATATATATATATATATATATACACATTTATATTATATATATATGTATATATATTATTATATATCCCATAAAAGTATGCTACATACAAAAGTATAATCTCTACCAGGTACCATACACGTATACTACATACTATAGTATACGATATACTATAGTATGCGTTAAATAACAGACAGAGGCCGGTTGTAAAATGTGCATTCTCAGGGCCTCCAGTTGCGAAATGGGCGTTCTCATGTATCTCCCCACCCAACCTCTTCCCCACCACCCCACCCCCTCCCCACCCCCCACCTCCTCCGCACCCCCCACCCCACCACCACCACCACCACCTCCCCACCCCCACCACTCCCCTCGCCCCACCTCCCCCCAACCCCCCCCCCAAGAAAACAAGAAACAAAACCCCCTCCTAACACATATGCCGTAACACATGGCAAGGACCAACATGCTCTCGTTATCTTGCCGCTGAGGGACAGGAGCCCGTGCCGAACTCAACGCCCCACATCGAGCTGTACCTGCAAGCGGCGAGGCATCGAAGCCCTCACAGACACCGAGAAGACGCGACTACGTGCTGTGCCTGTGGTAGGGTTTAGGGTCAAGGTTTTGGGTATAGGGTTTAGGGTTTGGGGTTTGTTGTTTAGGGTTTAGGGTTTGGGGTTTGGGGTTTAGGGTTTAGGGTTTGGGGTTTGGGGTTCAGGGTTTAGGGAGCGGTATACATGCATTTAGATGAGCGACGTCAAAACCAAAACTCTAGTTGTCGGGCCTAGGGGGTCGCTTGACGAGGTTTTTTGATGGTTTTTGTCACGGGCCTACGGTAACCCGTCGATTTACGGGGGTTTGTGCTACGGGCCAGCTGACAGCAAAACCACGAGTCGATTTGCTAGAAGTCGTGCTAAGAACACAGCCCAGCAAGAGCATCCGACTCCTTGAGGGATAGTAATGGACTGAAGTTTCTGCTCGTATGAGGCGCGTCGCTTTTCGGTGTTCCCCGTCGCTTTACGAGGTGAAGTCGTAATTACCACAGCTTTGACCCTTGCTCACATGTTTACGAAAACCCTCTGAAAAAGCAACTCCTACGCGTGTATGCCGGCCCTTCCGGCGGACCAGCTGAGAAAGGTGGGACAAGGCGGAACAGGCGGGCTTGGCACGTCTTCCTAAGACGCTGTCGCCACCGGACGGGGAAGGAGTTGGCACCTCCCCTGCTGTCTCCAAAGCCCTTTCTTCCTCATGCTCCTCCTCTGCAGTCTCCTCCGCAACGTGCCCCAGCACGGCGCTGACGACAAGAGTTTGCCTCCACCATCCCCAAGTACCTCCACAGAGAACCGACCGCCGGCGCCCCTCCAGGACCTGCCGAGCTTAGGCAACTGGGCAGGATCTGCTGTGTGTCAGGCCCCTCCCAGAACAAGGGCACACTCTCTCTTCAAAGCCCTCCATCGCTTTGGAGAGTGGAGGAGTCGACTCAACCCCCAGGAAAACCCCCCCGGAGGTGCCGGGTAACCCTGGCTCAACCCGGGCCGAAGCTCAACTACATGGCGTAAAGCGAATATAGAGCTTGAACAGTGCTGGCCTGTTACTGAGGCAGGGACATACCCTGACCGATGTCCACCGGCTTTGGATCCCCCGCTTTGATGGGCAGCAAGACGTTCGCGGCGTCCACGGTGATACACCTCCACACCCGGCACAAACTTGCAAACGGAGTGCACACGGAGTGCAAGCGTAGCAAGCAGCATATGAAAGGTGTAGACGAATAGTCTTGGCTTCTGGAGGGGCACAGAGCCCCAACAAAAAACCGAAGGCACATGCTCAGCTGAAGGCTGGGAGAATAAGGTATGGCAGGGCCGTGTATTGTATCATGGGGGCATATGGGAGGCTGCACGATTCACAATGAAAATGGCCTGGACCCGTCGAACTTCAGCCAGCAGACCTTAGACAGCACCCGTTAGCAGACATCAGCAGTCCCATCGAAACCAGGATGTTGCCAACAACCGATCAGGTCAGTCAAGTGGCCAATCGTTCGTAGTCCAAGTCGGGTACCCACATCAGGTTGGCTAGGGTGGCCGCAGCCTCCGGGGATTCTGGAGGAACACATTGAGCCGCATCCATCTCGAAACTGTTTTCCCCGCCTCCCGCGCTTCTGCCCAGAAGCCGGTGCAGACGCATCCCAGGAGTGGCTCCAGCGCGTTGGCATAGAACAACCTGCGCCACGTGCACCCACATGCGCCAGGTGAGTAACTTGACAGGCTTTTGGCCAATTCTGAGAGCCACAAGGTCTTCGAGATTCTTCGAGATACTTTGAGACTCTTGCCGCTTGAACTTCGGCTCCAGGGCCAAGCGACTGAACAAGGAGAGGACGATGACCTGAGAGCGAAGCCAGCGAAGCGAGGCGAATCGAGGCCTCCAAAAGAGCGTAGTCTCTCAGCGAGCTGTACGCGACTTGAGGTCGTCGCACACTCGTAAGGAGCGCATTGGTGCATCGTCTCCATGCCTCTCAGGAAGATGAAGTCTGAAAAGAAGAGACATTCAGCTGCGCGAGGGCTCGGCTGGTGAGGGCTCGCTTCTCTTGAGCTCCTCAGTCGAAGCAGCGCAAGGCAGAGTCTGCCACAGTCTGGATCGCACAGCGCCGTCTGGGCGGAAGGCTCATGAGGCAAACCTTGAGTCTATCAGCGACTGAGACTTTGGCACCTGAGGCGAAGTTAAGCAAACAGCGAAGCCCATCTTGTCTGTGTCAACCCCTCAACCCCCCTCAAACATCCCTGGAAAGTGGAGGCTCCGGCGCTCAGTGGCACTCAGGTCCTTCAGCCCAGTTGAGACAGGAATACGCCCAATCCACGGGGTGCTACATTCAAAACGTGCCTCGCGCTCCTCGTCGTAGCCAGTACTGCTATTCACCTCTTGACGAAGCAACATGTGCCCGCAGTACTCTTGCACGACGTTTTAGCGCAGACGGTGCACCTGCCACCAGTCTAAGATGCTGTGCAAGGTTGTTTCCACTTGGTTTGGATGCTTCTGAAACTTCTGCTCCTCCAGTCCACTTGACTTGGGTCGGATGCGAGATCTTGATATGGAATACACCACCTTTCGGAGAGGCGCTCCTGAAATATGTTGAGGAGCAGGGATGCAATGGTCTTGCAGTGCTCATCCTTCCGCTTGATCCAACCTTCCAGCCTTGACATCAAATGCGATTTCAGCAACAACTCAGAGAGGCTCAGAGCCTGAAAAGCAGGTGCTTGGGACGAAGCTGCTCCTCGAACTCTTGTCGGGGAGGGTAGACCTCATCTGGATCTGTCTCCTGAAGCTTGCAGCCCGCCCACGCCAGGCCGCACTTGGTGCAAAGAACTCTGATCATTGCCCAACTTTGTGCCTGATACATCAACTGCCTTACATGTTCAAGTCACCCGGGCCTTGGCAATCCAACCTGCGCAAGGAACGCAAGGTAACAAGAAATCACACCAAGAAGAAATACACCAACACCATGTCGATTCCGCTGCAACGCTGTCGTGCTGTGGCTTTTGAGTTGGAAGCAGCCAGATGGCCTAGACGATGAGAAGGATGGACTGCCACTTGAGACATCACCCGCCTGAAAAAATGAACAGTCGCAAGCCACTACATGCCGACCACCACTGCTGGGCCAGCAAAACCTAAGCGCCAAATCTCAGGCAGGCACAGAACCGCCAATTCAATCTTGCGATGGTCCCTTGCAGAGTTCCGTTCCTTGGCACAGCGCTCGAGCTCTGATAATTCGCTTCTTGGCGAGCGCTTGAGTCCCTTGCCCGATACCTTCGGACGAGCCTGGTCATGCAACAGTGTACATGCGCACATGGCGACAGGACAGCCTAGCAGAGAGGCCATGCCTGTTCAGCTTGCCCCAAATGTTGAAGCTTGCCAGAAGTGTCTGCATTTCACGGTTGAAAGAGAGGATGGATACCTTGGCCATTCCAGACCCGCCCATGCAGTGACTCCAGTATTTATTCTGCTTTACCATACCCTGACCAACTTTGAACATGCGTCTCCAGCGTTTCTGCTGCGGACTTTCTGCCAACTGTTTCGGAGAAATCTACCGGATAAGACAGCATCGGGTGACATCGCAAGCATCGCCTGTTGCCCAAATCCCAAGCTTTCAACCTCGACCAAAAGCTCTTCCCCCTAATATGAAACAATGTTGGCCCTGCGGGGGATTAAATACCAACTTCAGCTGCGAGCTTGTTGAAATTCAACGTCAGCCCCAAAATTCGTCCTTCGTCGCCCCATACTGTTTTCAAAAAGGTGCGCTAGTGCGTTTGCTAGGAGTTAAAACGTGGGTTGAAGATGCGAATATACCACGACGTGCTCACCTCGTGTATGGGAAGTAGCTTGGACTTGGTCGGCCCCTCAACTACGCGATTCCGCGAAGCATTTTGGATGAGTAGGGTTTTTGAAAAATGACATTTGGGCAGAAAGCAAGACATTCGCTCCATCGCTTGCCCCTAACATCCACATTAGTGCACATTTTGCTAACGCCGAACTAGCGCCGTGCCAGCGCCACTGTTTTCCAGCCCCAAGACGAGCCAACACCGATCTTCGCTGGCGTGGTACGTTCCGGCCCCCGAGCATGCCAAAAGAATGACCCCGCATGATTTCTAAGCCCCAGGCTCCAAAAGGGGATTGGGTTGCCAGCCCAAGCCCCGCCAACACCTACTTCCCAACCCCGCCTTCTGGGCTCGAAAACGGGTGGTTGGGAACAATGCTTTGTCTTTGCTTGAGCAGATCCTGCCCTTGTTGTTCTGCCATCATTCTTGAGCCGTGGCTCTTCCCACAGGTGACCGTGAATGGCAGATGTTCCATTGGTGTCTAAGGAGCTGTACTTGTGCGGGCCGCCTCATAGTGGAGACATTAAGTTGATAAACATCATGGCATGGTTCCTGTGACATCCTGTCAAAAATTGCTTTTTGAAAAGACACCAGATCGAAGGCGGCTTCTCAGCAAACGCCGAGGATGAAGGGTATGATGACGGCGATGATGACCGCGACATGCTGCGGATGATGCTGATGATAATGGTGATGATGGGGGTGATGGTGGTGATGGTGATGGAACTGGTGATGGTGATCTCCTTCAGCCTTCCTTGGCAACTTTGCCTGTTTGTTGAACCACATGCCGGAGAGGACTCGCCTTGGCCGAACCCCTCAGGAGCCCTCAGAAGTTTCAGGGGCCTGCTTCACCCAGCCATGGGAAGTTTGCAGAAGTTGCGGAATGAGTAGATTCTCAAGGTTGAGCAGCAGACACAAGCTTGGACGCATTGGCAAATACAGACCGCTGGGCACTATTGAGTCCCGTTGCACCATCCAGTAGCAGCCGCATCAGGCCTGGTCAGCACAGAGTGCGCAGGTGACCCAGCAGCCGACAAATAGTTAGGAGCACCCAGAAGCAACGCGTTCTCTAGGTACGCGAGCATGCTGGCTTGAGGCAAGGGCTGTCAGGAAACTTCCCGAGAATGGCCAAGTCAAGGAAGCCAAGCCTTGAGACTTGCTCGCAGCAGCTGCAAGAGCCACATGAGCCTGTCAAATTGAGTCCCCTACAGCTGCTCCCCGAAGAACACGATAAGCTCATGGCCTCAGCAAATCTCTGGGAATCTCAGAAACGCTCCGAGCTGGTAAGATGGTCCGCAACGAATGCAACAAGCAACAAAGAAACCGCATCTGGAGCTCTCCTAAAGGCCGCATAGGGCCCAACATTCCTGCGCCTGTTCCTGATCCAAGAGATGGCGTATGGTCCCGAGGATGACCTCCACAGCTCTGGGCCAACGTCCGGCACAGCAAAAAAGCATGTAAACAAGTCCCTGGCACGTCTCAGAGCAGTCTTTCAAGGAAGCAATCCCAACAAGCAAGCGCCAGTGCCGCCAGGCCTGCAGAAGAACCGGCTCTCGGAGCTCCACGGCCAGGTAGAGATCCTCACTTCGGAACATCCAAAAACACCCGAAAGCAATCCGGATTTCCTGGTTTCTCCTGTTTTTGTTGTTCTTCCCCGTGCCTTCAAGCCAAAGTCCCGGAGGCGCCAGCGAAGGCTCCACTGGGGCAGAAGGACCTGACAAGCAGGCCCAAGCAACCACAGATTGAACAGGTGGCATCAAGCCATCAAGCGCCGCAGGTACCTAGCATTCTCCCTGCACCCCTCCACTTCAGCCAGACAGTCTGCGTGACGCCGCATGGTTCGGACCCACTGCTAGTAGCATGGTATTCGGCTCACCAGCACCTCCAGAACCTGAGCGCCCGTGCCCAGAGCAGGCAGTTCATGTAGCAGAGCCTCATCCTTGGAGCTTCGGACATTTTGGGGGTTTCCGTGTGGTTCAGTTCCTCCCGCAGAGGCAGCTCCAGGAACCCCGCTCCGCATACTCGACTTTGTGGTCATATTCCTCCGAGCCATACCTGGGGTCATGGGGCGCTTGAGAGGGCGGCCTGCTGAGAAAGCAAGCCGCGGGATCCAGGCCCCTAGGCCCCTAGGAGCATGGCTCAATGATAACAGTCTTGTCCTTAGAAGTCCCACCGGCTGGCACATGAAGATCAGTCGCAGCGTGGTTGGAGGGCGACAGCTGCACAACCAATCTTCGTTGCGGTCTGGTACGTTGTACACTAAAAGCCACGGCTGCTGACAAGCATCTAGATCGTCCACCAGAAAGTCTTCCAGACCTCACATCCAAAAAAAGTCTCATGAGAGCGAAAGGGTGAACATCGGACTTCGAAGCACAAAGGACAGTCGGACAGTCGATGAGGCACTGGCCTGAGCCACTCCCACTGCTGGTGGCCGCCTTAATCCGGTGGTGCCTGGGCCAGGAGCCGTGGTCTCGGAGTCCTCTCGGAATCGCTTCAGATCCCCCGATTGTCCGAGGCGTCTGCAAATCGACGGACTGCTTCCAGGTGGCCACCAGGGAAAAAAGCAAGGTATCAAGGCCTAGAAGTACAAAGAGACACATTGCAACTGAAGCAGTCATTCTTGTCCGTACCGGCACTGAGCTGCACACCCTCCACCCCACCGACACCCGGAGCGGATTCCATCAAAGTCTCAAAAAGGTCCTCGTGTCCAAGGCGCTCCAGGCAGACAGCCGACTGATGGGTTCAGCCCAGGCACAGGAGACTTGCGACAGATCCAATAGAAAAGCCGAGCAAGCTCTGAGACCAAGCGCAGATTGCCCGACCTTGAAGCAACTCTCAAGCGGAGCGACAGCATGCTACCAGCGATGCAGTGATGGCATGTCTCTCATCTTTTGGGCGCCGTCAAACGTGCAGAGCGTGGATTCCCCGGAACGGGCTGTGGGTTGCTGTTCGAGCGCGCTCTGAGCCGGCAGACATGCTCGAAAAGATGGCCCCGATCGTCCTAAGGTCCACTTGGCAGGCGTGGTCGTACTTGATCATCCTGGCGTGGCGCAAAAAGTCACACCTCCAGCTGGTCTCTTGGGACAAAAGGTCTCGGGTCCGGGTCCATTGCCTCATTGTCCTACAAGCGGCTGGCTTGAAAAGAGCTCATCGACAATGGCAGGTGCACCCCAAACTCGCGGGCTGTGCGTGCCCATCGTGTGGGCGCAGTGGGCCATGGCGGAGATGTCTCGGGCCTCGGAAAACTTCAGGGTTCCAGTGCCTAAACCCCTAGTTCAGCCGCGCTGAACCCTGAGGATCCTGAACTGAAAGAGTAGGCAGAGCGGCCCATTGCTGCATCCGCTCGAAGCTGCTCGCATCACTGGGCCGCAGGTAGTTGGTCGATTTGAAGAAAGACTCCAGGATGTCACCCACGGAACCTTAAAGAAAAGAGAGGAACCGTAAAAAAAGGAAGAGGAACCCAAAAAAATAAGAGTAACCTAAAAAAAGAAGAGGAACCTTTAAAACAAACAAAGAAGCCTTTAAAAAAAGAAGAACCTAAAAAAGAGGAACCCCAAAAAAAAAACGAGGAACCTAAAAAAAGAAGAGCAGAGCCAGGAGCAGGCGTGAGAAGAAGCAGCAACTCGCCGCAACATCTGAGACCAAGAGGCCGCTCAGGAAAATCGGGAGGTTCTGTGGTTCTGCTGAGATCTTCACCTTACAGAAAATATTCGACTCCAAGACGCTAAGGCTCAAAGGATTGACTTCACCCAAGTAGCGAAGGTGTGCGTAACGATTTCGACAGATTCGGGAACCTGGCAGGCGCCACGTCTTTCAACATCTCACTTGCCACCCTTATCGTGCTTTCGCTCGTCGGAAACAGGACCCACACAAACTTTCCCAGTTTCGTGTGGATGCGCGTGAGAGCTGCTTGCATTGAAGCCAGCAAAGCTATGGTCCGGCGACTGGCATCCCCAGCTCGCCCCCCCCTTCGATGGTATGGGTTGCCGGACACATGCGTACACTTATTGTGAAGATGAGTGCTCTGCTGGACATGTGGCGCCTCACATACAACGCAGACCGTAGGGCGTAGAGGATATGGGACAAGTAGGGGGGGGGGGGTCGATGTAGCAGATGGATGCATGGCATGTTCTGTCAATCTGTCAATGTGATACAGGACACGACAAGTGGCGCAGCTCTCACTAACGATTTCTTCAATGACAACATCCGCCTAAAGACTCAAATGCTGCACATGTCTGCTGTATCAGCACACTTTGCTCCACAGATTGTACAGTATGACCACTGCTCCACGCAATGTTTTGGACGGTTTTTGTTGGATGTAACAGCGAAGTGCACCATGAAAAGCGATGATGCTACTGGTATGTATTTTCGGCATCACTTCTGCAAGTACGCCAAGTTGATCAGACGGGGCCTCCACCGTTCTGCATGGCTTCGCTGGCATGCGGTTATGTCGTTCCCCCCTGCTTCGTCGTCGTGCTATTCACTGCATGCACAGCCGTTTCCCACACACACACACACACACAGACACACACACACACACACACACACACACACACACACACACACACACACACACACACACACACACCCGCGCACACACACACACACAACACACACCAAAGGAAGGGAGGCGGCACCGTGGGGCGGGGAGGGAGCCTGGACCACTTAAAGTAGGGCGCCATCAGGCCTTGTCGGCTTTTAACTTGCAGTGACAGCGCCGCATGTCGCAGCTATTTTGGCGCCATTTCGGGGCTGCGGGCCCCTATTGGAGAAGTGGGCTAGGGCAAGACGCCGGAATACAGCGTCAAGCAAGTCTGATTCGCGCAAACAGCTCAGCAAACACTTTTGGCACATTCCAACACCGTGCGGTTCATCATTCTCATTGACATTTATCTTAGCTCGCGGATCGAAATCACAAAACTGTCTACGATCCTTCCTGGTCGAGATATATTATCCCCATGAGCAAGCAACAGCATCCCACCTGATTCAAGGCGATGCAGAGAAAGTTCAACACGCTGGTGGAACACAACGATGGCATGAACCTTCAGAAGACAAACTGTGTCTTTGCAAGCATCGTTTCTGCCTTGAAACGCTGTGCGACTCGAGTCGATCATGCAGTCTCTTCGACTCTAGCTACGAAGATTGGGGTCCCAGCTCCGGATAGTCTGCCATTTCAAGAATCGTCTCCTCAGGAAGTAATGACAATAGCAGCAGCGACAACGACGACCGCAACCGACAGAAACCACAAACCACTGCCACACCCAGATGCTCCCCCTTGAAAGGCAGTCTTTGATGTGGACTATGTGTGGAGGGGCTATTCGGCTACTATCCACTATAACTACCAACTCTTTTCTTTCCAGGTTTGTGGGGGGGGGGGGGGGGGGAACGATCCAAGAGTCGCCGGGTTGCTTGGAGCTACCATGTGTGTTCTCGCAGCTTTGCCTCAGAAGCCTGCAGCTACTGTTCTTCGAAGTGGGGGTTTCCGAAATCGGGGGCACCTTGTTGGGGCCCTGAGAACAAGGGAATCCTACTATTTGGGGTCTATGTTCGGGGCCCCCCTAGTTTCGTAAACTCCCAAGTGGCTTTCATGAGGATGAGGAGCAGGGTAAGACTCCCGAGGCCGCAGCAGCAGCTAGGAGCTGAAAACGAAACTCCTCAAGGCACAAGTGAATACCTACGCAACTGACGAGTCGTGCACGTGCAAGAAGAATCAGAATACGAAAACTCTGCACGGAGGCTTCCAGTGTCAGAGCTACTGCTACTGCGTCCTCGGTGGCGCCCTCGTGATGCCCTGCATCAGTGTGTTCAGAGTCGCAGTTGCGCTCGGCTGCGCTCCACTGGGCCGCGAGATTACAACAGCCTTCTGCGTGGAGGTCGTCCTCGAGATCCTCCTCTAGATCCTCTGCGCCTCGAACATGCAGAGATATGCTTGGCAACACAAGTGCACAGCGCCTGTCGAGTCCGCCCCCCCCCCCTGCCCCTCCGATTCTGGATCGGTGCCTTCTTTGGGCATGGTGAGGAGCATCATGGAGCCTGCACGCTGTGTCAGCCCAATGTAATCTCAACCTCTCCGGCGTTTGCTGTACCATGCCCTCCTTCGTTGGGTGATGTTGAAGGGTTACTACCTCCACTACTCGACCTGTCCGTAGCACACCCGTAGACGTAGCGGGAGAAACGAAGCTGGGCACGCAAGCGCCGCAAGCGCTGTGGCTTTTCCACAGGCCTACAAAGTCAAGCTGGACGAGCTTCTCTCGAGCCTGGCAAGAAACTCCGACTTCACGGGCCCTTGCTGACAGCAACAGGCCTGCTGGTTGTGAAAGAAGGTGCGACTGACCCGAACCTCAGCAAGCTACAGATCATGAGAACTCTGCCTTTGGAAACTGTGATCGTTATACAAGCCGAGGAAGGAACACCCAACTCCCGCCAGGCCGTCACCGAGTGGCGAAAGGCCTGAATGACCACTTCAAGTCATGGTACAACCCCACACTCTCTATCTGGCCATCAACAGTGAGACATAAACAGGACAAAGCTCAAATTCAAGTGCAGTCAGGTTTCATGTCTAAGGTGCTTGATGCAATTCTCTGCCATCAGGCTGTCATCCTTGGCACATCGTGACTGGGGAGTGTGACTGTGCACCTCGTCACATAGGCTAAAACACACATCGCCCCCCAGAATACCACTGCTTGCATGTTAGAGTCGAAGGTGGGATGGTTCTCCGTTCGCACCGCAGAGATGAAGTCCCACAGATCCCGAAACTTCTTGATGTCCTGTGTTGCCAGGACGTTTCGGGGCCTCAATCTACCTGAGTCTACCTTTGTTGCCATGCTTTCAGCTGAGCCGCATTCTCTTGGCAGGCGGAACCGACAGCAGCGTTGAACTCGCTGTATGTCATCTTGGCCTCTGAAAGTGAGAAGTTGCCCCATCTCGCGCGCCCTAACCAAAGCAAAGCAAAGAGAGACCTCTCTCCCCCAGGCCCTGAGGTGGCAGCAACATCCTCAGGGTTTAGGCCCGACTCCTCCTCCACCGGCTCTTCATCCTCTTCCTCCTCTTTCTGTTCGATGGACTCTGTGCCACCCATGCCTGCGGCAGCCTGCGACCGCGCAACTCTGCAAAGCCTACTTGGATGTGCTCGTGCGTGCGCGCGAAACGGCTCTGCTTCCTCCGTGCTTCACTTAATCCGTGAAGTTCCCTCTCTCAAGAGCGGCCTCGAAAGGACGTCCACCGATCACATGTCGCTGTACGCGTACATCCGGCTTTTGAAAGAAGGTTGCTGCTTATGATTGTACTTGCATTGCACTTAGCTTCACTTTCTGTTCGATTGAACTGCGCCGAGTCTCGTGGGCTACGTGATTACAACCCTTGCACAACTCGGCCTTCACATGTCCTTCGTATGTCTAACTTCGGGCCTGCAAGATATGCATTTACCAGCTCATGCACGAGGTTGTCGAAGCACTTTGCATCCTTTCAAGCTTCATTCCTCTAGATTATGCAGGGTTCCAGTGCCGGCAGCAGACGTTACGCACACAGCACACACACACACAAACAAAAAAAACAAACAAACAAACAAACAAACAAGCAAGCAAGCACGCACGTTCACACGCAAGCACAAACACAAGCACAAGCGCAAGTGCGAGCGCAAACGCGCGCGGGCATGCGCGCGCGCGCGCGTGCACGCCCGCGCACGCACACACACACACACACACACACACACACACACACACACACACACACACACACACGCGCACACACACACACACACAGAGCACACAGCACACACGTATACATACCCACACACACACACCCACACACACAGAGCACACAGCACACACGTATACATACCCACACACACACACACACACACACACACACACACACACACACACACACACACACACACACACACACACACACACACACACCCGCGCGCGCGCGCGCGCCGCCTAATCGGCAAAAGCTTGGCAACTTGAAGAACAAGAGCTGCCCTTTTTTGATGCACCGGCGCTCCCTGCCATCAGCACAGATGCTGCTCGGAGGAGGTTGCGAAGGAGCTCACGTAGCATCCAACACCTGCTTGGCCCGAGAGGCCACGCTCGGCTCGAGTGGCCCGAATGTCCCGAGTGGCTCGAGCTCGTGGAGGTCACGGAGGAGACGGCATCAGATCTGCATCAGTCCACGGCATCAAGGACTTCCACAGCCTCTGGCTCCTTGGCCAAGAGCGCATTCTCTCACTCATACCAACACCAGTTGCAGCTGTGGCTGCAATAGCTGCATGGTTGCACACCAAGCAGCCTTTGGCACGATCGGTGTCACACCTCGTCGAGCGCGAGATCTCATTAGACCGCTCGATGGCGTTCTTAGGGCTTAGTGATAGAAATAGAAGCCAAAAAAAATTCTGCAAGTTGAGGGCTCCCAATCGAGCCTTCGATCAGCGCCGTCGCCAGGCCCAGCCGCTCGGCAGCTAGGGCGGCGCTGCGTGCAGTTGCCCTGGAGGGGCCCTTGTCACGTACCTCCGGCACCGAGCAGAGGCACATGAAGTAGGGTTTATATTTCTTGTACCCCCAAAAGGACACCAAATACATACACTCACCGATATTGAAAAGGAACCTTAAATGCACTCACCAATAACAGTTATATAAACCCTGCTTCACATGTCCAAGGAGTCTGCATGAACTCTGAGGCAGCACCTGCATCTCATCGTAGAGCTCCAGGACTGCTTCGTCAAACTGACCTTCAGGTCGGTATGACCCCTGCCAACCGCTTCACTCGCGATGTCAAGAGGGCCCTTCATTGAGGGTCTGGCACGTGGTACAGGCCCTCACTGCGGTCTCGAAGCCCACCCTGCATCGGATGGAGATACGACGAACATCGACGAAGCCCAGAGATCTGCAAAAGCCCCTGCATCCAGTGTCATCCGGCCTGTCGGGATCGATTCCCTGGACTCGCATCTCATCCCAAAGATGCCTTATGCAACTGCGCGAGGGACACTCAAGCCCCCCTTTGAAAGACTCGCTAAACCAGGTGGTGGTTGGGAGCATGGGCACGGATGGATGAGCACGGATCACCAACGTGATTGCGCCGCATCACTTCTGTCCAGATCTTCCAAGACAACTTGAGAGGGACCCTGCAGCGGAAACATCTCATGACGGGCCGCAGAAGCACAGGAGGGCTGGCGGATGAACTGACACCCTTCGCCCCGAAACCCCTTCAGGTTCTCAAACACCACCTCACACAGTCGGAAAATAACAAACAAAACAACAAGAACAATAACAATACCAATAACAATACCAATACCAATGACAATGACAATAACAATAACAATAACCATAATAATAACAATAACAATAATATTAAAAAATAATCATGCTAATGCTAACTATGCTTATAATTCGAATAATGATAATAATCATCATCATCAGCAGCATAATCAAAAGAATGATAATAATAGTAGTAAGAAATACTAGTAATAATCATCATACCAATAATCAATAAAAACAAGAATAATACTAACATTAAGAATGATAGTAATAACAGTAATCATAATACTAATAATAACAATTACTATTATGACAATGATTATTGTAACAATTATTATCATACATAACAAACAAAGGGCCCGAAACACCCGCCCAAGGCCCTGGAGGATCCCGGGAGGCATCTGAACCCCGAGGCGGCCGCAACGCTTTCTCGGGCTGGTCCGCTTTCTGGCAGCAGGATGCTGGTTTAGGGTTTAGGGTTTAGGGTTTAGGGTTTAGGGTTTAGGGTTTAGGGGGTTTAGGGGGTTTAGGGGGTTTAGGGGGTTTAGGGGGTTTAGGGGGGTTTACGGGGTTTAGGGGGTTTAGGGGCTTTAGGGGCTTTAGGGGCTTTAGGGGCTTTAGGGGCTTTAGGGGCTTTAGGGGCTTTAGGGTTTAGGGTTCAGGGTTCAGGGTTTAGGGTTTAGGGCTTAAGACTTCAGGGTCAGGGACCTCTTTAAAGGCTTCTTGGGGCTCGGGACGTGGGCTTCGGGCCATGGGGCTTGTGATGGCTTACAAGGCTTCGGAAGGCTTTGTGGCACTGGGGGGCACTGAAGGGCACCTCCAGAGCAAACATCAGGCGGCCGTAGGTCATCGCCGAAGGCTGCACACCTGCAGCGTAATAAACAGAAGAATAATCATAATAATAATCATAATCATCACAATTAGCATAGTAATCAGAATAATCATAATAATCTAATCATCATATCAATCATAATAATCATAATAATCATGAAACATAGGGCCTGCTCTAGACACGGATGCACTTAGAAGTGAATACATGTTAGCAAAAGGTCTGTATTTTTGAATTGAGAGAAGCACCCATTTCGCAGTCTTCCCTGCCTTCGGTCTTCATGACTTCCAGTTGCTGGCAAGCTCTCCTGAGGCCGACGACGGCCGGAAGCCGAGGCAAGAGTATTCTTATTGTTGTGATTTGTTATCAATATTAATATTAATGTTAATATTAATATTAATATTAATATGAATATTCATTTTAATATTAATATTACTATTATTAGTAGTAGTATTATTATTGTCATTACTATTATGTTTCTTATTATTGTGATTATTATTATCACTATTACTTCTGTTACTACTATTATTACTATTTTTACTATTATTACAATTATTACGATTATTCCTATTATTACAAAAATTACTATTTTTACTTTTTTTACTTTTGTTACTATTATTATTACTATGATTACAAGTATTACCATTTTT